ATGTTGCTGTTCCAGGTGGGGGATGATAGCGATTTGAATCTCAAAAAAACACATGATATAATATAATATGAAATGATATGAGATGATACAATAATCCCTTCCTCCTAATACTAAACCCCCCCCCCTAATACAAAACACGGCAGGTAGTTTTTAGTATTAGGGGGGTATTTATTATTAGGGAACCAAATCGAAGTCATGTTAATTAATTAATTAAATTTCCTTATATAACGCAATTAAAATATTGCCAAAAATGGCAGTTCGAAGCTTACCCCTAATACTAAATTAAAACCCTTAATACTAAAAACTATTTTTTCCGATCTCAAAATCAATTAAATTTCCTTATATAACGCAATTAAAATATTGCCAAAAATGGCAGTTCGAAGCTTACCCCTAATACTAAATTAAAACCCTTAATACTAAAAACTATTTTTTCCGATCTCAAAATCAATTAAATTCCTTATATAACGCAATTAAAATATTGCCAAAAATGGCAGTTCGAAGCTTACCCCTAATACTAAATTAAACCCTTAATACTAAAAACTATTTTTTCCGATCTCAAAATCAATTAAATTTCCTTATATAACGCAACTAAAATATTGCCAAAAATGGCAGTTCGAAGCTTACCTAATACTAAATTAAAACCCTTAATACTAAAAACTATTTTTTCCGATCTCAAAATCAATTAAATTTCCTTATATAACGCAATTAAAATATTGCCAAAAATGGCAGTTCGAAGCTTACCCCTAATACTAAATTAAAACCCTTAATACTAAAAACTATTTTTTCCGATCTCAAAATCAATTAAATTTCCTTATATAACGCAATTAAAATATTGCCAAAAATGGCAATTCGAAGCTTACCCCTAATACTAAATTAAAACCCTTAATACTAAAAACTATTTTTTCCGATCTCAAAATCAATTAAATTTCCTTATATAACGCAATTAAAATATTGCCAAAAATGGCAGTTCGAAGCTTACCCCTAATACTAAATTAAAACCCTTAATAAAAAACTATTTTTTCCGATCTCAAAATCAATTAAATTTCCTTATATAACGCAATTAAAATATTGCCAAAAATGGCAGTTCGAAGCTTACCCCTAATACTAAATTAAAACCCTTAATACTAAAAACTATTTTTTCCGATCTCAAAATCAATTAAATTTCCTTATATAACGCAATTAAAATATTGCCAAAAATGGCAGTTCGAAGCTTACCCCTAATTGCTAGAGTAGCCAGGCAGCTTGGAGTGAGGGATTGGGACTAGGCCCCCCTAATACTAAACACCCCGGGGTGAACTAGTTTTTAGTATTAGGGGGGAGAACCCACAAATGGTAGGTTGATTTTTAAATTGTTTTTTAAAGGGGATCAATTAAAAGTCAAATTGGCCAAACTGAAATTTTCGGAAATTGGAGATGGATGCCTGTTTTTAGTATTAGGGGGACGTTTAGTATTAGGAGGAAGGGATTATGATATGATATGATCCATATTAGTCTATATTTATATATGGTATAATGATAGCTATAATCGTCGGGGTTTTGGGATTGTCTTGGAACTGGGACACCTGCCATGTCTCATTTTGATATCAAGCAATCCCGGAAGTCTATGACCACTAGAATCACTAGAAGCTTTAAGATTAGTACAAACTTGCCATTCATGGAAGTTTCATTCCAACAAGCAAAAGGGGTGACATTTTTGGGAAGTGAGGCTTTGAGCCTGCAACTCACCCTTGTTCTGGGGGTGACCCAACTGGGAGCTATTTCTGGGGTACCTCACTCGCCAAGTCCGGATTCATTCGGAATACCTTGAATTTTTGGTCAGCACAAACATGAACAGAACTTGATGATTCATATGAATCCCAAAGACATATAGAATCAGCTGTCCAGTATTTCACAGGTGATGTTTCCCTGCCTCATTTCATATACTTTCCAGTGTTTCCAGTCCAAACTGGTCTATCATTGGGGTCTTGCCAAGCACAATTGACGACAATACCCTCTGGTAAACTAACAGTTTGCTATTGAAAATAGTCATTTATAGTGGATTTACCCATTAAAAATGGTGATTGTCACTCTCCCCCCCCAAAAAAATAAAAAAACGGTTTGATGTTGACCACCGTCCCCAATGGGTCACAGGGCGACATCATGTTGGAGGGTTCATTGGTCTCGTGGAAGCGTGGTGCGCGCAGCCACAAGGGCTTGAAACGTACGGTGCTGGCCTCAGAGAAATGTTGGATTTTGGTGGTTCCCAAACTATTCATCGATTAATCAGTATACCATATAGAAAGATAGATGATATAGATTAGATTCGGTTGGATTTGATTAGATTAGATTGGATTAGATACTTGTAGATAGATATAAAAATGCACAGATAGATACACACACACACATATATATATATATATACGCATATATATATATATATTTACACATGCATACATACACACACACACACATATATATTTATACATATATATATATATATTGATATGCACAGATATATATGTGTATATATATATATATTGATCTGCACGGATATATGTCTTATATATATATATTGATATGCACAGATAGATGCAGACAGACAGACAGACTGACAGACAGCCAGCCAGACAGACAGACAGACAGATAGGCATCTATTTTTCTAGAAACCTATGAAACGCGTGAATGCACAGATGGAACCAGTTTTTCCCCTGCTGTTTCATCTTCCTCGTTTGCATTTTTACATATTCCAACACTGGGGTGGTTAAGCACAACATCCGTTGGTCAACCTGTGAGCCAGGCCAGAAACAGCGTTTGGGGGTCTTCCTCGTTGCAGGCCTGGCAAGGGGATTCCCTCGAAGTTAGAGGCCAAGGAGCAATCAGAGTTTCCCAGCCACAGGATAGTTGACAGTCCTGTTTTTTAGCTGAGCTGCCATTGTGTTTTCTAGCAGAACGGACCAAGATGGCATGGGATAGATCGAATCTTCGGGAGAACTGGGGAGAACTGGGCATCACACAAGGCCCCAAAAGAGAAGAACCTATTCAAATTGCCGATTTACTCTATAGTAGACTTAGTAAACATCCAAAAAACTATGACAAATCCATGGTTGTGTTCCAAATGATCTACGTTGGTCCAAGGCATCAGCCGTGTCTTCGCTCTTCAAGGGGCCGGCCAAAAAGGACCTCAGGTGGGTCATTCGCGATGGGGATCAGGTAGGGATTCCCCCATGGGATCCGGGAAATGGCCTAAAATCATGGAATTTCGACTGAATTTTGTTGGGATCAACATGGGGTCTAGATTAGGATCTTCCATCATCCAATCTTTCCAGATTTTCCCAGTTGGCATCCCAGGCGGACTCAAAGTTTTGGCGGAGGTCGACCGCGATCATCCTGGACTCAGAGCATCACAGTCTGGAGCGCCAGATGTGTGGAACCAGCAACCTTCAGCAGCTAATTTTGGTAAAGCAATAGGATCCACCATACCCAAATTTACCATAAATGGGCAGTATAGCCCTTCAAAATGTGGGTGGTTTATTAAATTGTTTTACTAACATTTAGCATTTATCCTACTTTATCATCTGGGATGAATGTGCGAAAAGCGCTGGATAGTTTTGTGCCAACTTGGTCGAGCATGTTTTTCTAGGCCCAGCCTCGGGCGAGAAGCAAAGACGAGAGGCCCTTTAAAACCGCGCCCTGCGATATGTGGGTCCTCATCTGAAAAGGTCATATGACTGGGATTTGGAGGATTCCTCACTATGGTGATGAATTGGAAATTGCGTGGACCATATATGCCCCTCTCTTACTTTTCTCCTGAACTTAACAAAGGAGAATTGTCTTTCTGAGCGTTTGACAACATTCAGAATAACATTTTGTTGATGCAGATAGTCTTCTTCTTGCTCCCTCTTCCTCCTTCTGTACATCATAATGTGTACACATGTGTGTATATATATATAATATATCATATATCTATCTATCTGTCTATCTAATCTAATCTAATCTTATCTGATCTAATCTAATCTTATCCTATCCTATCCTATCTTATCCTATCTTATCCTATCTTATCCTATCTTATCCTATCTATCTATCTATCTATTCTAATCTAATCTAATCTAATCTGATCTAATCTGATCTAATCTGATCTAATCTGATCTAATCTGATCTAATCTGATCTAATCTGATCTAATCTGATCTAATCTGATCTAATCTGATCTGATCTAATCTGATCTATCTATCTAACTATCTATCTATCTATCTACCTATCTATCTATCTATCTAGCTATCTATCTATCTATCTATCTATCTATCTATCTATCTATCTATCTATCTATGCTATATAATGATTCTTCACGGGCATAGCTGTACACTGTACACACACATCCAGTATCTGCGCCCTACCGGGCCCACAGGCCTGAGTCGGTGCCGGCCCCGAAGCCAAAAGAGGAGGATCCCCGAGGGACAGCGACCGGAAAAGCCGAGGAACAACTCCAAACCACGTGGAATGTCCGATGACTTGGGAGATAGAATACGTAAAATATCGTAAAATCACATCCACCAATAAGCACCAATAAACACCTCAATGTAGCATGGGATTTTTTAGAATCACTTGGGAGATAAATAAATAAATTATATAACTAACTAACTAACTAACTACCTAACTAAATGAACAAATAAATACATACATACACACACACACACATATATGTATACACATATATATATACACAATCACTTGGGTCCCAAATCACTTCCAAACCATGATTTAGGCGGTCCATAAGGGGCTAGCCCTAGGAGGTGCCTGAAGATGTGGCGCCGGAGGAGGCTCCGGTTGCCACGGTCCAGGAAAGTGGCATGGAGCCGCGACCTGGCGGAAAGTGGGGTGTGGTTGGCCTATCCTGATGTTACCCTCTGGTAAACTAACATAACTATGGAAGATCACAATCTTTAATAGGTAAATCAACTATAAATGGGTCATGTTCAATAGCTATGTTAAATTACCAGAGGGTAGTTGATCTGATTTCCCCCATATTTTTGTGGAACCTGACTCTGAATCTGATTTAAGCTCATGGGTTTTTTTCTTTGTTTGGTTTTCTTTGACTTGGCCATGGATGAGGCGAATCCAAGCATGTCCTGTGTTGGTGGTTTGGCATGTGGCATTCGGCAACTTATATTTCATGGAAATCGAAGTGCGCCCTCTCCAAGGTACCAATTTCCATGCTTCCAAACACTAAGACCTTATCCATGCATTGCTCAACCACCGTCAACCCTCATTTTGGATCATTTTGGGGCCTATCCAGCCATCAAACCTTGGGGGCCGTCTTTCCTACGGGAATGTGAGCCGCATTTGTCACCTGAAAACTGCCTCCATCTGTGATTCTTTCAAGACATCTAAGGCCCTTGGAGCTGACGGAGGCCATTCCCGGTGCAGCTTGGCCCAGTGGGGTGGTCTTGGGTTCAGCTCAAGCCACCGTTTGCGTAGCTGTTGGGCTCCATTCCCATTGTTGTTTATCAGCCCCTCACACGGGGTCAACTGTCACCCATGATGGGGCCATGACCCAGAAACAAATGGAGCGCAGACCACTTGATATGGGATACTACCCTACATGTAAGCTTAAATCGTGCTACATCCCATGGCCATCCATGGCGGGTTCCTAAGGTGGTCGGTGAGTCGGGTGAAGAGGCAGTGCAACTGAGCGGTTTCGTGGGCGATAGCAGCTGTGCCTTGGCTGCAGCTGCTTGGTGGCTTCAAGGATTTTTATGTTTTCAATGGATGATGATTTGCGTTTTTTTTTGAATAAATAAATAAATAAATATATATATATATATATTAAATATATGTCCATTTAAAGTTATATCCATTTATGACTGAAGTACCAAAAAACTGAAACTTGATTGAAGTCAGACTCACTTGGTATTTTTTCTGATTCGTGTAGCAAACATCCATTTTGCGGGGGTGTTCAGCCACCAACCAGGCAACAATGGAATGAGTTGCGGCCAGATTTTGCGAACATGTGGTTTTACCGTCCCTCCCACATCATAGACCCCACCAAATTGGGGTTGGAAGACTACTATCCTCTAGGGATTGGCTGTAGCCAAGAAACAAGAGGATTGGAGCAACCATAGCTGGCGAGATACCAGCAAATTTAGGGATACAGGAGTTGGTTGGGATTACCATCCCATGTAAAGATGGAAGGGCCGATGATCATGGAAAGGTTTTTCAGGAATTCTTCCAACTTGGTGCTGATTGAATTTGGGGAATCCATGGAAAAACTAGGTTCCCTACCAAAGACACGGGTTGCTGGATGCCGAATCAGAAGATGATTGCATCATGGAGGAAAGATTGCAGGACAGTCGCTGCTTGGAGCTATGCTTTTCCGAGAGAGAGAGAGCGGACGGATAAGCTATGCGACCCATCTTGGAGTTGAATCATCACGGGGCATATGTGGATTTGCCTGAAAGTTGGATATACCTCAAAATTGCCGTCTGGAAAATGATGATTAACTAAAATTAACTATCAATTTTTGGGGCACCCTATTTCAGACAACCAACTTACTTTCTTGGGCTTGACCGTGTCTGGCTCACTCAGCCACCCGGTCGCCGGCTTTCCCGGTCAACTCGCCCCATGGCTCCAGTGGTGGATGGACCCCCCCAGCGTGCGGCGCGGGAACCGCCAGCTGATCGCAGGTCGGCTGCTGCGTCTGGAGCGGTTTGATGCGCGAACTTTGCGCTTGTCCTTGGCGCCACTGAGGAAGGATAACAGGGCCATTCAGTAGCTGGGCAAGGTTTATAGTAGAATATCTTGGACGTGGAACTTGCCACTTGGGAGTCCAGAGTTTTTTTCAAGTTGATCTTTTTTTTTTGTTGTTGTTGTGGTGTCTTTTTGACTCAATCTTTATTTTACTTATTTCATGCCAACGACTAGGCAGCTGCTGAACATCTTCGCCAAAGAGAACCGCGGAGACCTTGCCTTTGGGGTGCTGAAGGTCTTGCTGGGGCAGAGCCCAGAAGTCTTGGATCTTCAAAACTGGAATGCTGGGATCGCGGCCTGTGCCAGGAGCGACCTTTGGGAGGAGGCGTGCTTGCTCCTTGAAGAGACTGGGATTTGCTTTGATTCCAGATTTGATTGAAGGAAGGCTCACAGGAAACCATGAAGCATTCGCACTGCAAATTCATATTCCAACTATTGCTGGTGATCATCCCCATTTTTTTCGCAGCTTCACTCCCCCATTTTTTGCAAGAATCAACTTTTCCATCTCAAAAACCACCAGCTTGGCGAAAAAACTCGTCCCAAAAAATGCATCTTCTCCAAGAAGGTGCCCCCCATGACCAAGGACCTGCCCCGGCTCCGCCTGGCCGCCGACGTCGTCAGCTACAACGCCCTGCTGAGCCGCGTGGGGTCGAAGGAAGCCTTGCAGCTGCTGCAGCGCATCGAGGCAGTGAAGCTGCGGCCGGATGTGTACAGCTTCAACTCGGCCATCAGCGCCTGTCAGAAGGGCTGCCTGACTGGGTGGGTAGAAAGGGCCTCTGTCACCCCCCAACTGTAGCACAGTAAAGAGTAGTGAAGAAAGGTATTGAAGATCAATAGTCAATAGCTGCTATTTTTGGATATTTTTTGGGGGGTTGCCCCAGTTGCTCATGTTTTGGAGTCATTCTTATGGTCAATTTTGTTCAGGATTTTGGTGAAATGGGCTCGGTCATCCTCAGATTTTCCACGAGGCGAGCAATGGACCTTGGCCTTGAGCCTCTTCGACCGCCTTTGCTTTGAGCTTCAGCCCGATGTGGTCAGTTACAATGCTGCCATCAGTGCATGTGAGCCTTGGAGCAGATGGTGGGACTCACTAGTAAGGGGGTTCTCCTAGTCTGAAGAATGCTGACTACTGGGCAAACAAAACAATGATTGAATGATTGGGCTGTTTCACAGTTTCACGGTTTATTATACTAAGAACTGGAGAGATGCAACATCAACAGGCAACTTTCTAGAGGGTATCCAAGGTAGGCCAGGCAGAACGAGGACCTGTGCCTTCACTGGCATAGCAGTGAGTTCCGCCCAGGCGAAGGGTGGGCAGTGGCAACTGGCCTTGAGTTTTTTCGAGGGGATGTTGTCAGCGCAGATCAGTCCAGACGTGGTGACTTTCAGTGCCAGCATCAGCGCCATCAACTCGGCTTCATGGCAGCACAGCCTGAAGTTCTTTGAGCAGATGTTCATGAGCACCTTGGCAGCACCAGATGATCGCCACCAATGGCGTGTGACCCAAACTGTTTCAATCAATCAGCACCAAGCTGGTGCTTTAGGTTGCCCTGTGAACACTTTGGTCACCGCCTCGAAAACATCTTAGTCATCTTGGATCCTCCTGAGATCAAGTCCCTTGATGTCCTTTGTTTCTCAACTCCCAATCTATGTTGGTTAAATATGTGGTTCAACCACATTAAATCCACATTCTTGCCGGTTGCAATCCTGCTTCGAGCTGCTTGAATCTGCAGATAACCCCTGGAAACTATGAGGTGAGCTTCAGCCCAATATCTTCACCTTCAGTGCTGCCATCAGCAGCTGCGGCAAGGGTCTGCAGTGGAAGAGGGCCTTGGACCTCTTCGAGTCGATAGCGACTGCGCGGATCCGGGCCAACGTGGTCAGTTGCTCTGAGTGGATTTTGGGTCCAGAGATCTTTGTTGTCCTGAGCCATTCCTGAGCCCGTCATAGCCCGAATTTTTTCCCTTTCTTTCTCCGGGGCCAAGAGATGCAAAATGTTTTCACGCGGGACCTCGAATAGTGTTCAAGGCTTTTTCCAGCCTTGTCTTGGCCGAAATCGAAAACCGCTAGTTTATCCACAATTTGTGGGAGATACTCACATGCCCGTCACCCCAGAACGGGTCGGTTTATTTTGAGAAGGATTTACATGGATTCATAAGTGGGACTGGGAGTCCTAGGAGATCTAGGAGCCATGAAATGTCTGGGCAACAGCTTGGTTTGATATTTGTTCAGATCGGCCGGGACTTCAGTAAGGTTATAGTGCAGTCATCAGCGCATGCGAACAGGCAAATGAATGGCAACATGCTCTGAGCATGTTCCAACGCATCTAGGCGAGAATCTGGCTTTGGATCAGCCTTCGGAGCCCCAAGTTCACCAACTTGATATGATTCCGTCAGGAATTCTGAGGTCTAGCGCATAGCTTCGAGTTTCCTCTCCTATGGCAGTGGATGCACCTCTTTGGTCCTTCAGGGATGATGGGTTGATGCACCAGCAGCCATGTAGGTATGGGTCAACAGTTAAGACCTCAAACCACAGGTCTTGGGCTCTGAAACCCTTCCGTTCTGGCACCCCCAGCCAGATCGCCACACTTTTTTCTGAGGCATGTGGACCGCTGTGCTCCAGCCAGATGTGGTCATCTGCAGCGCCGCCATCAGCGCCTATGAGCTCGGCAGCCAGTGGCAGCAGGCGCTGTCCCTGCTGGATGCCATGCCGCTGCAGCGCGTCCCCGTGGACCTGGGCTGCTTCCATGCAGCCGTCCTGGCCCTGGCGGATGGCGGGCACTGCGGCATGGAGGCCCTGGAGTTGATGAAGGGCTTGGCCCCTGAGGGGCTGCAGGCATCGGTACCTTGGCGGTGGTGGTTTCACATATTTTTTTTTGAGGTTTGGCTCCATGATGTATGATAAGTTCATACTTTTTCACTCTTCATTCCTCAACAATGTCACCTCCAACTGAGCAGAGGTGGTCCAAGCACCAACCAGGTCACCAGTTATGAGCTTGTGATTCGAAGTTGCAAGAGCGAGAGCCAGTGGCAACAGGCCTAGTTGAGTTTTCTGGTGGGTCAACAGAAATGGGTGAGCGAAGCTGGGCATGCTTTTGGATGTTGGGGGTGACATGAAGGAAGTGCGGTGCAGCTTGGGGCAAGTGAGGGCCATGTGCAAGTCTTGTATCCCATGAGTGCACATGAGTGCTAAGTTTGCAAAACAATCTTAGGAACAACCCATTTGCAACCGGCAGGCCTTGAGCGTGTGCCAAGTCATGCCACTTGCACAGCTGGCGCCGGATTCCGAGAACTTTTTAGCTGGCACTGGCATCAACGTGTGCCGCGTGGCCAAGCAATGGCGTTGGTCTTGGGACTTGCTGTCTGGGAGACCGATACCCGAGGGGCCCGAGGGGCCCGAGGGGCCCGAGGGGCTGGTACCCCACGACAGCATCTCCTGCGCCCTTGCCACAGGTGGGCAGGAGTCGCAATGGCCAGCATCTTTGAGCTTGTTCCATGCCATGCCTTCCAATGGCCTGACGCACAGCGTCGAAAGTTTTGCTTCCACCATGTTCTCCATTTGTGACGGGGGAAGCTGGGAGCTGGCCCTCAGTTTGTTTGAAGCCATGGATGTGGAACAGATCCAGCCGAACGTTGTGGTCTACAACAGATTGATTGGCGCATGCAAGGCTGCGTCGCAATGGGATCCCTGGCGCGATCGGAGCTCCACTTCAGAGTTTTGAGAAAAGGGCAAGGTACTTTCCAATTCTTTCTGCATAAGCTCTGCTGGAAAAGGGACAGATGCAAATGGTTCACATGCGTATTCGTGTTGGTCGCATATCCGATATTTTGGGATAGGGTACGCCAAAATTAGGTGGTTTACCATTGGTTTACCATTGGTTTACCATTGGTTTACCATTGGCCATTTGATGGCAATGTATAGGGGGGTACCCTAAATTTCCCATTAGATACATTTGTATACCTACTATCCCATGATATGCATATCCCTAAAAGGCTCTTGACTTGAAAGTACAAGTAAACACTGGGTGAAGGTTTGTGAGTGACCACAGTGGATCAATTTTAGCCGAAAACAATATCTATCAACATTTGAAGGCGCAGAAAATTACTAGGGTCGGCACCTGTGAGTTCTGGGTGTTGGAAGTGAGGCGGTGTTGGAAGTGAGTCGAAACTGGGTGTTGGAAGTGAGGGGGTAGCCAAACACTAGACAGGTGGCAAAGCTTAGCCATCAAACGATGCTTGTGACAGGTTTCAGCTCATGTCTCACGATGTATCTAGAACCTGTCAACTAAATTGGTGACACAGTGACACAGCGACCAATGCGTAAAGGCTTCACGGATTTCCCCATTGGAGCCTTGTAATTTTCGGTGTCCAAGGAGTTGGCGCTGAGTCTCTGGCAGCAGATGCCTTCGCGCCAGGTGGAGCCTGATACCGTGACCTTCAGCGCCGTCATTGCTGGCACCATGAGGGGCGACGACGGCTGATCGAGCCTGGATTGAAGCGTCAAACATGGAGAAACACAGAGAAACATGGAGAAACTTTCAGCGGATTTCACTGATGAAGGTCACGGACCTGGTATGGCGATCTGATGCTGGCAGTTAAAAGGACCTCCTTCGGCGGAGAAACGAGAACCGTTGCGAGTATTTTTTTGGTGGCAAAGGAACTAGTTGCCTCCCTACCCTCCGAACTATCGAAGTGGCTGCGGTATGCTTCGATGCAGATATGTTGTTGGCCCCATTCTTCAGGAAAGGCTGGATGGTACGAAGGTGACAAGTCGGGAGTTCCAGGGCCAGAGGTCCGCAAGGTCTGCAACGAGGACGAGTAACCTGGAATTCTGTTCCCTACAACCCCCGGTGCTACGTGAGGAACTCAAGCACATGGCTGGGTGTGCATTGGCACCGGAGAGCAACCACACTCTGTGGGTTCGTGCATTTTGGATGGGGAAATCATTGGAATTTGATGATCAACCATATCCCAAAATACTCCGATATGACCTTTTTTCATGATGAACATATGAAAATGATGGTGAACCGTGCGGATTTTGGATTGCCCCATTTTCAGACCAACCCGAGTCTCACCTTCTCCTGCTATGCGCTCCAGCTACAAATCAACATGACGCAAGCTTCATAGCCCGAGAACTGGATGGTAACCTGTCTCCACGTTTCTCCCACGAGGGGCCCCAACGGGGCCAACTTTGTGCGCGCTGTTGGCAGCTGTTATTGGAACGGAGGAAAATCGTCGGGCCAATGCTGCTGCAGAGGTTGTACCAATCCCCTCTGATAATCCAACATAGCTATGGAATGCTATGGAAATATAAGGTAAATCATCGATGAAGGGGTCATTTTCTATGGCTATGTTAAATTACCAGAGGGTATACGTGTTGGGGGCGGGCAACTCCAACTCATCATTCCATATTGATCCATATTGTGTATAGTTTGGCTTCATTGCTAGGTGAAAATGCTCGAGGGCAAATCCAAAGTCGAGCTTTAGCAAACTGGCCCTTGGTTCCCCTCAGGTTTGAACGGAACCTTCACGGCAAATGGCACGGAAGTGAACGGCAAACAGGTCTACAGCCAAGGCCGCTCGGACAGGTCTGAAAGTCTATCAGTATATAATGGGATTTTCTGTCAATATGGTATTGTTGGTTGTGACCATTTTCGCTTCATGTTTTTGGTAACACGTATTCTCACACCCCCGGAGGCGTTGCCATTTTTGTAATCATGCTACATGGGTGGGTGAGGTGGGGTGGGGCAATAACTTTCATGTTTACTTGCACACATAGGATAGGCTACATTATGATATCTTCTCTTGCACTTGCACACAGACACATTTGCTGCTACGTTATGATATCTTCTCTAGGACGGAATCCACCAATGGATATTCGGCACAATTTGGCAAAGTGACAACTGCCCGACAACATGAACCAAGGATGGAAAACGTGCAGATTGAACTTTTCGTCGTCAAATGATCCAAACACATGCCTGTGTCCTGCAGCCTAGGAGATGGCAGCAAGGAATGCATGTGGTACCACAACGGTGCCTGGCGCATTGGCTCCTACAACTGGCTGGACACCAAGGATTTAGGCGTGGCAAGTCCTGCAGCGCGAGCGAAGTCCTTCGATTTTCTGATCCAATATCCCAATACATCAGTTAATTCATGTTATATGAATAATCAATGTTAATTATACATAGTTATAGGGGGTTATCTGACCATATTTTCCCCACTAAAAACCCCAGCTCCGGTGCAGGGCGATGCCACGCCTTCGTCAAGACAGAGCATGACTTGGATCACATCGCGGCCAGCGAAACCTGGATGAGCTGCTTGGGATCTTCTGGAGGGGATCCTGACAGCCAGGTGCCTTGGGGCCCAGGGCCCCCGCGTTAGGTGGCAGGCTTTCGCACGATTTTTTTTCGGGGAGGAGGCTTGTTGATGGATGTTTTTAATGGTGGTTCTTTGGGAGCCATTTATATACTGGTATCAGGCGTTGGGGCAATGTCCTACTGTATCTACTGTTCTTATTGCTTGTAATTTTTGATGTGCCCGCCATGGCGGTCTTCCAGGATGGTAGCCTCTTCCAGCCACAGATGAGCGCTCGAGCTGCCAAAATGGCGCTGGATAACGTCGTGAAGCGAACTGGAAGTGGCTTGGGACCAATCAAACTGGGGGAAGGCCCCAGATATGGATGTACTTTCCAGTAGGCTAAGATAGCTATTGAAAATGGACCATTTATAGGTGATTTAAAAGTCATGGCTATGCTAGTTTGCTGGAGGGTATTAACCATAAATCTACAGACACACCCCGATTTGCTTGGCAAACCATCAGGTGGGTTTCAATAGATTTTCCTGAAACCATTCACGAAGGGCTCCGCGAGTATATGTTTAAATAGAATCCACCACAATTCAGAAATCCAACAGTAAGGCCTAGTTATAAAAAAAAAGCACTTAACTCATCTAGGTTGCTCCTTCCCGTATAAAAAGCCAACCATTTTGTGTGGGTAGAATGGGATAATTAGAATTCACAGATGAATCGACAATTACAGTGAATGGCAACTTTTTTCTTTGCTATGCACAAGAAGTTGTCAGCACCACAGGCAAAGATATCTAAAATCTAAAAGAACACATTTTTTCCTTGTTTTTTTGGAATGCCCTCTGGTAAACTAACATAGCTGTTGAAAATCACCATTTTTAGTGGGTAAATCAACTCTAAATATTGTAAATTGCCATTTTCAATAGCTATGTTAGTTTACCAGAGGGCAACCAAGGGTTATTCACCATACCAATCTGGCCAAGATGGTTCCGAAAGTTTTTCACATGGCAGGTAAGAAGGGGCTGGTGCCATCCCTGAGCAGCAACCGGCTCACCAACATCCTGACGGATCAGCCGCCTGGACTTCAACCCGGGGAACCTTGAAGTCAATGGATTGGTTTAAGGGAAAATCTACAGGAAACCAGGGATTTTCCTATGAAAATCTATGACATATGGGAGTTTCCTGTAATTTTTCATCCGTTGATGAAGGTGAAGCACCTGAGGAATGGTTCGTGTTTGACGAAATGATGATGGAGTCAGGATGATCCTAGAAAACTGTATGTTTTAGAGGCTGAAAGCCACAAGAATCATGGCCAGTCATTTCAATGGCTACTGTACCCTTTACGGAGCAACCTTTCAACCAACTAAGTTCAGGAAACAAACATGGCCAGTTGAGTCATGTCATCTCACCAACATGAGATGTTTGGGAGTTGGATGGTGCCAAGCTGTTGTGGCTGGGCCTCAAGATTTCCAATTGGTTGGGGGGTTAACCCCCAACCTACGTTTGCAAAGAACCTGTGGTAAACGGGAGCAACAAAAATCCAACCTACTCTCTGATACATTCACATAGATATGGAAAGCCCAGGGCTTTCCTAGGAAATTGATCTATGGTGGGTTTTCATGGGTTTTCCGGTTTTCCACATCTACATCAAATGACTGGAGGGTATCAAACACTTTTTTCTCCCAGGATTTGCCCTAACCAACTTGTGTACAGCATCGAGTGGCCGGCGTCCTTGTCCTGCTCCTTAGTGAAATCTCTTACACACTTAGTGAGCCACACGCTGGTGGCCTGCCACGTGGTGGGGTCGGTCTGCCAAATGGCAAACCTGGCGTCATCGTGGCTCTTGGAACATGGCACAGGCAGCCTGAGGGGCAAAGATCAGCAGCTGCTCCGGCAGACGCTTCTCAAGGACCCATTTCTTGTAGAAAGATCGGAAAGCCCTTGCTGGGATCGGTGCAAATCAAGTCCAAGAAATGTGGTAATGTAGGGTGCCCACTGCGGCAGCTTCATTCAAGCTTCTATTCTATTCCTCTGTGCAACTCATTAGGGCCAAGAAGTGAGGGGAAACAACTGTCGCGAGCTGCAGGACTTGGATCGTATCCTGGGCCTTCCTCCCAGCCGCCCTTTGGTGGTGGAGGAGGAGGTGGATCAGTTCCTGGCCTCGGGCCGCGTCTCAGACGCCAATCTGAAGCGCCTGCTGCGCCGCGCCGAGGCGCGGCTGCTGCTGGCCGGCGCGCGCTCGGACGCCGGCTACTCAGGTGCGCAGACGGAGCGCTCCCAGCCGCTGGCGCTGCCACCAGTCGCACCAGCGCAGCAGGTGCAGTCGGCACGGGGCCCGGCCAGACCGGAGATGCCCAGTGTGGAGGAGGAGGAGGACTTGCTGAAGTGGTCGCAGGTGGCGAAGTTGGCCAAGAAGGACTCAGGGACTCAGGGGAAGCTGTGCCATGGAAGGAGGGATTGTCAAGATCAATGTGCAGAGTTCCCCTAAGAATATGGAACCTGTATCATTCTTGCTGTTTTGATGGTGGTTAACTTGTCTATTTTTGGGGACCCTTTGTTGGACTTGATGCCGCATTGATGCCCTGATGTTTGGGTGGTGCATGAACAGATGCAAAAAGGGATGTTTCAGCAGCACTGAAGGAGGCGGAACTGGAAGCCCTGCAGAAACGCGAAGCCAAGAAACACGCGCAGACGGAGATTCGAACCTATCTGCAGCAGCAAATTGACGAGAAGAACTCGAAGAAGCAGAAAGCTGCGGAAGATGAACGGAAGTTTTGTGACTTGGTCATTTGTTGTGGCTTTGAAGTGTGGAAAAGGTAAAGTGCCCTAGTTCGTTGCAAGAGCTTATTTACAGGTACTTCAAGTCCACGAGGCCCTGGCCCCCTGGGCTGAATGATGGAGCTCTGAGTTGAAATCCACAGATATTGACAGTTTCATTAGTTCCCTCGTTTCGTCCTCATTTGTTTTGGATGTTTTGGATTACTTGCGAGTTCTCCTGGTTGATTTCCTTTTGCTGCCCAATGCCCCAGCTTCTCAAACAACAACTTTTGACTTTGGCTGGTTTCAGGCCCAGATGCCCAATCCCTAACTTGGTTTACCCGTGGGTTCATGGTGGACTAGCGATCGTTTAAATACTGTAGCCCGCAGTAGGTAGAAAAATTGGTAATCCCTTACCCCCGATATTATGAAACTTTGGTTTAGTATGGTTTAGTATTAAAATTATTAGATCCCATTTGGAGTGGTTGATTTTTTGGGAAAAGTTTTGGTATCCTCACCATTGTTGAGGTAGCGTGGGTCAAACACGACTTTCATTATGCCAATCCTAGCCTCAGGCGAGATGCAGGATGCCGAACTGGAACGGTGGAAGAGGGACCAGGTGCAACAAGCTGAGGAACGGCTACACAAGGCTCGAGGAGAAGGGACACACCAATGGGCCAATAAAGCTGGTGATGGTTGGCATACAATATAGTAAGCCCAAGAAAGATAGAACAGTCATTTATCAAGATTCATCACTATTGTAGTGGGATTTGCTTTTCTGTCCTTTTTGGGGTTGCTAGCTATACTATGGATCCACTTCTTTTGGGTCATGTCAGTCGTTCCCATTGAGTGTCCTCGTTGAGAAGATTGCAACCCTCCAAAACATTGTTGAAGGTGGCTGAAGGTGGATAGGGTGGTGCTAGGTGGCCCGCCTCTTTCAGATCTACCTCTCCCAGGTTGAAAGTGACATTTACAAGCTTGCCCGGCTTGCCCCCCATAATTGCTGGGGTAAAACCATGGGTTTCAGTAGATTTTCCCGAAAACAATCCCATTGACTTCAATTTCCCCTACGGGAAGGCCACCCAGTTATGTTTGGCTGTTCGCAACCCGATTTAGAACTATAGAGAACATAACTAAATTATATAACTGAACTAAATGAACTATTTCACCCAACTCCCATCAAGCTACATTCAACTTCACATTTTTGCCAGGACTGAACTCTCCACTTTGGGATCTTTGGGGGGGAAGAGCTCCAATCCCCAGCCACAAGGTACAACAGGTGATTCGCGACCGCGAGGTGCAGTCCGAAGAGGTTTTTCGAAAGCGCGAGGCCGAGAGGGAGCAGAAGCTGGACGAAGACAAGCGCCTGGTGCAGCGCGCCACGCGGGAGCCTTGGGCCATGGATGGCTATTTCTTTTTTTGGGCCTTGGACCTTGGAATTTCTTGGAGAAATTAAGGAGGTTGAATAGATGTGGATGTTTGGTGGAGTTTTCTTTTCCGCCCGGAGTTTGGAATGGATGTTTTGTGGGGATGAAAAGATACAACTGCTTGGCGGTTTCAAATATTGTTCATGTTGAACAGTTTTGAACCATAGAAATGGGACGATGATCCTTAATGGGGAGCATATTTTTCGGGGGAGTTGAAACCACCAACCAGCATACATGGATGTTGAATGGATGAAATCATACATACTGATACTGTAAACTGTAAACTGCAATTGCATTATTAAATGGATAAAGTCATCCATAAGTGGGCGCCGCGTGGATAAAACCTCAAGATGAGTGGATAGTTGGTGGGCAGATTTTATGGAAAGCAGTATTTGCAGTGGAAGTTAAAAGGACAGAGATAAGTCATGTTAATACAGTACATGGGCGTTTAACGTGGAATTTCCGATAGCGAGGTTTTCATCTCTGGGAGGGTATATCAATATGATGATGGGTCAAGATTAAAGATTAGCATTGCGAGCTCTTCTGGCCAGTTCTGGGACGGTTACTCTGGTATGAGGGTTTTAAGGTGGCTGCCAACATTTTGTGAACCGGGGCCCACATCATCAACCCACCTTCTTCGTGGACCGCAGCCCCTAATTCACGGATATGGAAGATTATTCTCAATATGTCCCAACATCTGGAACTTTTTACATGGTCTACGCGTACCTGAGCATGGTCAAGCGAAATTTCAACAGGTTTTAACTATCGCAACTAATCGCATGGTAGTTCATCATTCGTCTTTGTTCTTGGTCTTCGTATTTAACTTTATTTACCATCTGGTTATTTAACATAGCCATGGAAAATCCCTTATAAATGGAGGTTTTAATGGGAAAATCATCTATAAATGGGCCATTTTCCATGGCTATGTTAGTTTACCAGAGGGTAACTTTATTTAACCACCATTTTTCCTACCCATCCCCAGGAGATGGAGCAGGAACAACAGGCCGTGGCTCAGAAGCGCCACCAGAACAGGTTGGCGCAGGCCCAGTGGGTCCAGGAAGCCACAGAGAACAAGGCCAAGGGGAGCGATGCACGGCAGCAACGCATCCAGGAGGAGCAGAGGATTCTGCAGGATTATGTGGAGCTCCTTGGAGAGATGGTGGATGGGTGGATGGCTGGAGGATGGTGGATTTTTTGCCATGGCGCCATGTGTTGTAACGAACTTAAAAAAAAATGGAATGCGATGGATTTTGTGAATTCATTTTTAATTCCGAAATGTTCATGTAGCTGTGATTCCCGTGTATCAATTCATCCCACCGTTCTGACAGATATGTGCCTAGCCGCCGATCTTGGCCTAGCCAAGGCTGTTGGAGAAGCAGGAGGCCCGGCGGAGAGCGGCAAAACCCAAGATCCGCGAGCAGTCGCCGGAAGCGCCGCCACGTGCCAAGAGGAAAGGGGAGGAGGTCTACTACGACGAGGTCGGATGGGATGAAGGTCTTATTTGGGGCACACGGATAGAGTTGACTTATTCTTTTGTTGTTTGGGGGCCCGGGGGTTGGATGATGACATTGAATGATGGTTTTTGAGATGAAAAGGCCATCATGACGCCTCAGATGCGGAAGTCAACACCTGAGGACCAGGCTATAGGATTCAAAGTTTGGCCACAGTACTCACATGTGCGTGCCAACCTTAGCAGAGTGACCAACCCCTCAAATAAATTTCCAAGGCATTTTTTCAATGAGACAAATCACAAAAATCGCATGCGGGAGTCCTTACAAAGGATTTCAATGGATTTCACCGTGGACCTGGATTTGTCCAACATGGAAAACGATGCTAGACCAAAATTTCAGACAAGCCTCAAAAGCTCATTTTTGGATATTTTTGGTGGTTCATTTGACGTTTCTGGTGCGCTTACTTGCACGCAAGGCCATTGTGATGCGGATCCATCAGGAAACCTTGGCGAAAGCCGAGCAGAATGAGCTCCGATGCTTGGGAATTTTGCACTCAGGGCCAGCCACGGTCTGGTGTCAATTCTTTTTTTTTAATCCCTGAGAGTGGGATCACTGACAGTCTGACTCTGGACATTTACCTGGTAATACCTAAAATTGACCGTCATTTGTAGTTCCCTGGGCTGTCTGCTAGGACATCCATGTGAATACTGAGGAAAACAGGAGCGCCTGAAAATGGAGCGGCATCGGAACCAGGCATTCCTGTCCGAGCAGATTCTTGGATGCATTGCGAGCGTTGCACGGTTCTGGCGTACCTTCACGCAGAGCTTCAGAAATGTGCATCATTTCAACTCAATTTCTCCAGTGTTCTGTATCAAATAGGCGGACGACTACCATAGATGACGCCATTTTTGCCCTTCCGAACCACAAAATCACTTGAGCTGGAACATCTCTGTATTCCCATGGTATTCCTATGGCCCAAAAAGGTCATCTATGGTCAACCAACATTGCTATCCGCTGCCGCCTGGAGCCATGGGAACGTCACCCGAGGATTGCGGAACGGGACCGGCAGAAACGCCAGGTCCTGGAGCTCAAGGGCGGGCAGAAGGCGGCAGCGCAGCAGGCGGCAGAGGAGGCGCGACAGAACGAGAAGCGACGGATGCAGGAACAGAGGGCAAGGCGGGATGTGGATGGGATGCAAAGTCTAAACAGATCTAAGGCATCTAAGATATTTTATGGATTTTTTAATGGTATTTTTTGAATTTGTGTGAATCTAAATCTAAACTTAAATCAAATATCTTATTTTTTTAAAAATCAATCTATCATATAGCGTATTTCACATTTGCTGAGGTGCGTGTACACATATACACTACTGGAGAGGTTATACATCATATCATATCACTATTAGTCCTTTGTATTCAGGTTGAAACATATGCGCGTACTCCGGGCTGAGGGGAATGGGGGGATGTCTGGGGGGATGTGGATGCTGGGAGGCGTAATCTTCTTGGGAGTTTGAAGCGCCCATAAATGCTGCCACAGGAAACCATCCTAAAAGTGGTGTCATTTTAGGTGAGGGACAACTTTTCAGGGAAATATCATTGTTTAAATGGTCTTGCCGGAAATTTGCAGAAATGTTGAAATTTGAAGCCCCCACCATCCGCCACTCAAAAAATGAGCTGGATCCATTTTTTACACGACCCCATGGCCCCTTGCCAACTGGTGACTTCCAGCAGGTACCTTCAGAACCGCCTTGAGTTGGAGGGTCAGATGTCCGGCAAAGGGAAGAAGAAGTTCCAGGAGGATGAGATGAACAGGGCCGACGCCTGGTCGTAGGGGATGGGCGTGAACCTGGGGGAAAACACATGAAATGGCCATAGTGATAGGACACATGATGATAAATCCTGGGATTTGGGGTATACCAATCTTTAGAGACACCCATGCCCTCCCGAAAGCCAAGATGGACACCAAAAAAGTTGGGTTTGGAAGATTGCCGTAGGAGAAACTTGAATTCTTGGGTTCCATATAGATTTTCAAGGGAAATATTGAGATCAACCAAGAGAGGGAAACCTCGAAGCCTCGCCAAAATGGGATTCAACCTCTTGATCAAAGACAGGAAACTCCAACTGGATTTTCAATGGCCAGCTGAGATCTGCCACATGGGGAACGCTGCCGGGATTTTTGGGCCAGGTCTGTTTTGTTGAAACGATCCCTGATGGCAAGGAAAAGGCAATCAATCGGCGGTACGTCATCGAAACCTTCCACAAGACATCGGAAGGTCTGAGCCCTCATTGATGGATGTAGCAAACTCGTAGCTCTGAGTGGAAGTTTCTTTGGCTGTTTTGTCATGGTAAGTGAACATGGCAGATGTGGATAGGAAGTGATAGGAAGCCCTAGTGAGAACAGATCTTTTTCTTGGATAACATTCCACTCAGGTGTAGGTGACCATTTGGTCAGCCCCAGCTGCTGACAAGCAAGGCTCTTACCGAGGGCAAGTGATTCCAGCGCTGAAACATGAGCGCTGGAAGAAAAAAAGGGCTATGGGTCCAACGGTCCAACCGGTCATAACTGGGTTATAGCCGTAGCCCCAGTTCCTAAGCACCTAAGTGAGATGATCCTCCAGTTCTATGTGATAAATGGGTTATAGCCCCAGTTACTACCCTCTGGTAATTTAACATAACTAATGAAAATCACCATTTTTCATGGGAAAACTCGCTATAAATGGCCATTTTCAATAGCTTTTTGTATGTTTACCAGGCCGGGTAACCAAGGGTTATTCACCATACCATCCCCATAGGTCCAGGTGGGTCTGGTGGCTCCGAAGATTTTTCGGTGAGGTCTCTGCGGCACGACATCGAGCCGCCTCCCATGACGCCGCCCAAGCGTAGCAATACCTGGAGCCGCGGCAGTAAGGACGAGGCAGGGCTAGTGGGATATACCCGGCCTGGTTATGTCAAAATAGCTATTGAAAATGGTGATTTATAGTGGATTTACCCATTAAAAATGGTGGATCTTTCCATGGTTATGTGAAAGTTTACCAGAGGGTAATTGGATGATGATTTGGGAATATCTATCATTATTATGGGGAATATCTATGGGGAATATCTCTATGGGAATAAATAATTGGGAATATTAATTGGGAATATCTATGATTGGGAATAGTTAAGGGATAACTATGGGGAATATTATGGGATATCTATTATAATATCCCATGAATATCATGATAGTGAGTAGTGGGTCTCTCAGCTAGATAATTTCGCCACGACGCTTCGTGGACGACAGGCAAACCTGAGCCAGGATGCGAAAGAATGACGGCGCAGTCTAGATCGTGGCCTCGGCGCAGAGACTCTCAGGGCAAAAATGCATAGAATCATAGACACGTCATAGAAGTGCAGTGAAGCTCGATTTTTCGTGAGTGGTTTCTTTTTTGGTTGCAACCCTTTTTTCAGCAGACATAAACAATGAGGATTTAGAGTTGAACGTTTATTGCCTTCGCCTTGCTCACAACAAGCCTAAACCATTTGTTGGTTTGAAGGGATCTCTACTAAGTGAAGGGTTCCACAAAGCTTATGATCACTGTTGGTTCTTTCATAAGACTTGATTCATCCATGTTGGCATCTACTGACCTCTCACCCATGGAAGCCCTGAAATGAAGCAGCACCCTTACTGTAGTTCCTTCCAATAATTAGATGGTGTTATCCAATCAACTGCATCAATCAATTCCAGACATTTCACCAATAACTTAAGGTCAGTCAAAATATAATGTAACATGCCTCTTCTCATAGAATCTCATATATAAACACACACACACACATATATATATACATATAGATATTATAGGATGATCAAATTGTCCAAAAAGATGGGACTTTTTGCCCTTCTCGGATCTTCCGGGGATCTCCCCATGTCTCTCCACCGGAAGGCCTTTGTATAGGGTGTATTGGCGCGCCCCTCGTTGCCGAGAACGATGGGTGGCCGATGGTTGCCCCGTAGGTGTCGGTGTCTCACACGAATTCAGGAGGTCTTGCTGGGAAGTTCGGTCTGCCAAGCCAAGATCTTTACCAACAGCAACCAAAAGAGATTCGAACACATTGAATCCACTTTAAACACATGAGGAAGTGAAGGGCATCGTGCATTGTCCCAATCAACCCAAAATGGGAATTCACCATGAGACCATCGTTAAATAGGGTGCTGATCACCAACCAACGATATGACAAGCAGCCAGGGTGAAGTGATCCATTTGCGATACAGAAACGGGATCTGAAGCAGCGAACATCTTAGCACTGAGAGGGCGATGGAGGGAGAGAGAGAGAGAGAGACCGCATGAATGCTACGGAATTTCGTTGCTGCATTTGTTTTACTGAGAAAATTGAAATCACTTCATATTCAATGTTGCCTGGATTTTGTTTGACTTTGGAGTTGCCAAGCTCCTGCAACAAAGCCAGCGAACCTCCAAAGCAACTCACTTGCTGAGTTCCCCTCGGTCATGGGTAAAGCGACTGACATTGAACTTTGGAGCTCGATCAGTTGGCAGTTCTGTTATTTGAAATATTTTGAAATTATTTTTGTGGTTTCAATATTTCGATAACTAAAATTAGTGGTACTGTTATCTGTTGACCAAAATTCACAAATGTTCATGTTATAGCATTTCAGGATCTCCAGTACCACATGCCTTTCCGATTTCGAATGATTCTATAGAATGCTACCTGAACTCGATAGATAGATGGCACTTGCAGGTGACACCACCCAGTTTCTCACTTCCGAGGATGACACGATGATATACCAGCAAACTCCTGCAAAAGAGGTTTTGTCATGTTTTGTCTAAAATTAGAGGACTGAGCATCCCAAAACCCATTGGTCAAGACATCATTTTGGGGTATACCGGTATCCACCTTGCAGACTTCCGCAAAGTAGACCTTCAATTCAAAGTTCAATGCAGCTAGGAAGCGTTTTGCCCTCGGCCGTTGTCATTTTTCACTGCCTCATGCAGGGCGGCTCCAGCTGGAGATTGGTTCTTTCAGGTAATCTAACGTGGCAATAGAAGTTCAAAATCGAGAATTACATGGGTTTCATTATGTTTCATTGTTTGATGTGTCAAATGATGGTATACACTAGTATACACTAACTATCTGTGTTGTACTTGGATGTGTTAACTCATGCATCGAGACCCGGTCATATCTCCCTTAAGGGGCTGTTTTGGCCCTGGACGAGAGAGAACGTCGATGGTTATCCCATGTGCTTTTTTGTGGCTTAAAACCATTGAAAGACCACAGCACTAATATGCTTTATCCATCTTTATCCCGGAATGAAAAACACATTTTTGGATAGTTTATGTATGTTTATGTTAGTAAAAATTCGTTTTATCAACCATGGCTGGTGGCTAAGAACCAGAAACCAACTGGGGATACTGACCGCAGACCGGTCGCACCGCGTCGCTAAAAGCGGCCTGGTGAGAGAAAATGCGGCAAGGCGACTTGGGCTCCACAAAATAACGTGATACGGGTACTGTTGATGGAAGAAATTCTGCACCAATTGATAGAGTTAATCCCATTATTATTTATATATAAGGTTTCAACCATCCAAGGTGGTGCAGGATTTCTTCCATCCACGGTATTTTCAATCAAGTCTGAGTTGATGCTTTCAAACCTCAATTTGAGTTTGGGATACCATGAGGGTTTGATACTTTGCAGTTGATGGTTGCAAACATGTTGACAGCCAACGGGATGATGATCCTTGCGGGTTGTTCAAGCAGCATCCAGTTCATGTTGAGCACTATACTATCCCCCCATGTTTGTCATCTTATTCTGCATTTGTAGGGCATACTCTCAAATTAGGCGAATGCGATCAACCACAATGTTTTTTCTTGGGGCACACCGTTTTCAGACAAACCCTACCGTAGGTATCGTATAGTTGTTCCTGGTCTATATATATCCATTCAGATTCTATCTCACATTCTATTCCATTCTATCCCAGTGTTTTTCATATTTATCACCCATGTTTGAAGGTTAAATTCCATAAATTCAGGCAAACTTAGTATGTTTTGTGCATTTTTGTTCATTTTCTCACCCCTCCTTGGCCCAAAGCCCGCGCGGCGGTGTAGTTTCCGCCGGGCGATGCGTAGGACAGCACACTTGCTGTGGGTATGGATCAGAAGATCTCAGGGGATGAGCAAGGATAGGACGGTCGATCAAAACCTTCATGGTTCTTTCAAAGCTTCAAAAGTCTTCGAAGACTAGAGGACTCTGAGGACTCTCAATATTTATTGATTGGTATCAATCGGTTAAGTAAGTTAAGAATCCTGATTTTGCGTCCAGGGATTCCTATGGTCCTTTGAAGGTCTTCAATGAAGTCTATATCATTTTTGCTTCAAACGCACCAAAACGTGATTGTTTGTACGCCATGGATGTACTTTGATCGCTCCGTGCAGCGGCCAATACCGGGGCCATGGTGTTGGCCTTTTCAAAACTTCGCAGTCAGATTAGCCTCTCCGCACTGTTCCACCTGAATGGCAAACCGCATCATTTGCTTCAGCGCGTCAACGTTTTCCGATTTTTTTGGTTGGTGCCGACATGTTTTCAACTACCTTTGCTGATTTTCATGCATATTTGGGATTATTTGGGTTGAAACCACGTAACCACTTTCACCCCGCTTATTCTAGGCCAACATGTGTAATTACCTACATGTTGATTGGTGCCTGTCCCCTTGTATTTGCGACTAGAATTGGATGGGACTTTTCCAACCCGAAGCCCTTTTTTCCTTGGCTTGAAAACCAAGGGTTTCAGTTTCGTGGAATTTCCGACCAATTCAATGGATCATATTTGGGAAATTGCCACATGCTATGAATTGCCCCTACCATTGGCAACTCCACCCAGGTAGCGTCTTTCCTTTCGCCACCAAAGTGGCGTTGCCATGTGCTGCCGTAGCCTGGCACAATGTTGTCAACATGGGAATAGGATTGCAAATTTGATCCTCGATTTACTTCAGGATGATGATATGATTCTTCATTTACTCTACATGTACAACGTACGTTGTTTGCGACGTCGTCGTCCCAGGCGGCCTTCGTGCTGAAGCTGGCGCAAGTGGAGGAGTGGCCAATGCTGTGCGAATTACTGGACAAAGCTGCCATGGATTCCACGGTGTACAATGCCTTTTCGACCCTTCTGGGGTCACTTGACGGCCTTGACAAAGATGGTGACTGAAGTCGCTGTGGAGCGTTAGTCTTGGGGCCAAAAAAACATGGGGTCATTGTGTCCCCCAAACTTCCCCTCTATATTCTTGACAATTTATAAGGACATCAGTGTTATTAATACTACGTTGTCCTTTTACAAGTCCCGGTTTTTAAGTCTGCAGACAGCGCTGGAGCGCGTTGCGAATGCTGTGCTCCCTGAGTTTTTCTCAGGATTCTGGTCGTCTTCCGGACGGGCCAAGCCTACAATCGCTTCTGGGATGGAAGCACTTTGACGCACCAAATGCGCGGCGATTGGTTCGATGCTGCGAGTAGCATCATTTCCTTTACCAGGAGTGGCATGCCATGGCCTGGCATGCCAAGTGAATGATCAAAGATGAAGAGACCCCAATCTGTTGCTTCCCTGTTTTGCGGAATCGTAGATCTCAGAGAGCCCGTGCTCTCTGTTACATTCCAGTTGGAATGTTGCTCACATTCGGGTTTTTGATCATGTCATATATCAGGCCCATGTTTTCCCAGAGAAGCAAAGAATGTAAACATAGTTGGGTCCACATCCGCCTCCGCCAGCATGTGGTTTTTTCTCGATCCAGAAAACCATCAAAGTCCAGACCCACATATTTTCTGACTTTTGCCATGGCTCTTTCAAAGACCAAAGAGTTTTGAGGTCTGGGTGCCCCCCGACATGGCCCAAAATAAGTTGACCGCAGGACCTCGAAAGCCGATAGCACGAAACTCTGGGAGTTTCGTCAAATCGTGGTGCGGCTCTTTAGTGCCCTGAAGACAGCGGCCAGCACCATGTGGTGCCCATGTGGTGTTCTCCTAGTGGCCCTAGTGATGTTCATTGGATTGATTGGCCATTGGTTGATAAGTGAAAAATACTTCCATGAACTATGTCGATATTTCTGCCAGAAACCCAACTTGGCACTTGGAGTGGTAAATCAAATGGAGAGAGACCCCCAAAATTCGATGGCCGAATCTAAAAACGGTCAGAGATTCCATGAAGCCTTAGCCCGCGATAGCCCGCGCATCAACAGCCTCGGCTGAGGCATGTTACACGCCCTTAGCCTGGCAGAACTGGAAGATGATGATGACGAGGACGAAGAACGCTGGGCCTTTCGTTTGCGCACCTCGGTGGCAGCAGGTGGCCAGTGATTTTTTGGACACTTCGATGTCACGCCTGAGGTGTCATCGATGGTGTGGGCATTGATGTCGACTCCTTAAGAGCCCTCAAAAAGGCTGGAAGACGACAATTTCAATGATTAAAAGTTAAAGATGATGATTTTATGGGCTTCAAACTCTTGACGCATCTGAACTCTTTGAACTACGGCCAAATCTTTCTAGTAAGTTATGGCACATAAACAACTTCCAGTACTCGTTTTGCATCGTTTTGCAGGTGAAAAATCGGTCCAGCGTTTTTGGTTTAAGACCGCCATTGTTGTGTTTCACATCGTGAAGTCGCAGGCTGAGTGTAAGGTGGAGTTGGTCTTTCATTGGATTCAATCCATCGTCGTCACGAGCATCTCGGTTCAACGAAAAATTGATGGAGCGGATGGTGGGATGGGGTGGATCAAAAGTGTTTTGTTGGGTCAAACAACACACATAGCAGCCATATGCAGCCAATAGCATCACATAACATGTTGATTCTTTTCTGATCTTTTCTTCTCATTCTCGATATGGCACACGATCCGGTGCTTTCAATTGTTCTTTTTAAATATCTTTGAATACTTTTAGTTTCCGTCCTTACTAAGATGAGGTGCCCGCATATCGCATTATATGATGCCAAACGTGCTCACCAAGGCATAGATTGCGGGATCATGTCTGCGCCGTCACCGATTTTGACCCGAGCTTATAGTGAATTGGCCAGCGGCAACTCGGCGGAGATCGCCTCCGGTAGTCAAACATGGCGAAAATCCACAGTTGAATGATCCTCATTGAAACCTACGTTTAACGGGGTTTCCCAGCTAGCCACGTTTGAGTACCGGAGGGTATATTATATTATAATATATTATAAATACTGAAAGGTCATAAGCCCACCAGTTGATAGACATCTACTGGCAAACAGTCTGGCAAATAGATGCAAATAGGGCATGGCATGAGCGCTGCCACCATGGTGGTAACAAGACTGAGATTTTGCCACCTCGTAACCTGGAAGATACTGCAGTGGTCCTGCGCACCACGCTTTGAATCGTCGTGAAGCGATATGCCTCGTATCTTCCACACTTGGTCCAGGATGAATTTCCGTTCAATTTCCGTTAATCATTAATCATTCAATTTCCTACAATCCCATCCTAACATAAAAATATATGAATCACCTCCCCGAAAGCATGGTTTCATCGTGGGCATTGAAAAACATCGGAACGACATGGGCCTTATGGGGGCTCCTTGGGGCGGAATGGGATTTTCAGGCCGCCCTGGCAAGGCATGGTGAAGTTTCATGATTGTTTGAAGATTGCGCGGATTGCGGTGCCCTTCCCGTACTCGCAGGCTGCCAAGTGTCGACAATTTTTCAACCTGCGACTCAGCAACTATGTCAACTATGTGGTAGATCAAAGTGCTCGTTGTAGGACTTGTTTAGATAGAACTTATGATTTGCTTGAAGATTTTACCCTCTGGTAATTTAACATAGCTATTGAAAATGGTGATTTATAGTGGATTTTCCCATTAAAAATGGTGATTTTCCATAGTTATGTTAGTTTACCAGAGGGTAGATCTTTTGTCCCCTATTGAAGCTTTTCGCCAGCCGGTATGTCAGGTGGTTCATCCACTGGTCCCAGCGGTGTCAGGCCACCCTGATGTTGCTGGTGATTCACTGGCTGTTAACGCCTTTCATGATGACGCTGGGAACAGAGAGTCCCACCATCTGCTGCCCCCTGACTGGATGAATGAATGGTGGATGGGGCTTTGACACCAGTGGATTGATGATCATCTGGGGCAAAAATAAAGTGATACCAATTTGCTGGGTATTTTGACAAACCATTATAACATTAATTATAACACATATATAATAACCCATTATAGGTGGTGTTTCTGGAGCACAAGGGCAGCGCAAGCGCCCAGGTGTCTTCACATTTGTGACCGTATTTATCCTCTGGGTCTTGCATTCGATTTCCATTGAGTGCCTCGGTGCTGATATGTGCTGATGCTGATCAAGTTCAAGCCTGTCGCGGATCAGAAGCATCAAAGAACAGCCCACATCAACATCAAATATAGCTGATATACCTGGTGCATGTTTGGTGTAAAGTTTAAAGCTTCTTTCAAGCAACACACAATAGAATCAATTTACAGCAACATCGCATAGAATGCATCTTCATTTAATGTATAGACGTATAGAGCTCCTCGAAAAAGGATCGAACACATTCTTCATCCATCATTCAAATCCCACCATATATATATATATTTACATAAAAGAATTATAGTGATAAATTTCACTTTGTCATACTATGTCATACTATGTCATACTTTTTCTATCTAGGTTTGCCCAATCTTTGGTACATCGAGGCTGGAGAATCCATTCGGTGCGGATGCCAATGACCTGGACGTGCATGACACCTGGCAGCCAAAAGGCGTTTTTTCGCCTTTTCACCATGCAAATCCAGCAAACATGTTGATTCATAGTGGCTAATAGTTACTCCTAGTGGATTTGAATGGATGCAAAACCTATGAAAATGGTGATTCATCAAGGGCAGTTTAGAAGTCTATACCTCGGTGTTACGGAGTTTTAAAAGTCGCACAATGATTGTCAACAGCACTGATTGTCGCAGCAATGATTGTCACTGCAATGAAAGTCACTGCAATGATTGTCACTGCAGTGATTGCAACTTCAAATTTCAGTTTTTAAGGGACATCTCGCACGAAAGCTTCGTTTTCATATCTTCAACTTTGACTTTTTGAGGGAGGTCTCGCACGAAATGCGTTTTTGAGAGATAGCGGATGCAAGAAATCGCATGTTTTGCAGCACAAAACGTGCCTCGGAAGATGGACGGGGAAGGTCTTCCCTGGGGCGGGTGCAAGACGGTCCCGGCCATGGTCTGATCATGCTTCTTACAAAGTGGGTGATGCCGTGCTCAAGAGATAGAAGTCGTAGCTGTAGCTTGTGTTTGAATTTCGTAGTAGGGCATGATCTTCATGGATAAGACCAACATGAGTAAAAAGTGTGTATTTGATACTTTGTGATATTTTGTGATCAGCTAAGAAGAGATGAGACAAGGAGAGAAGACAGAGATGAGATGAGATGAGGTGAAAAACGCTGAGAAGACACGACATGAGATGGGATGACACAGACTGAGGTGACAATGGGATGCAATGAGCAATTTCCAAGTGAAGCCGCAATGCGATGAGACCAGATGAAATGACGAACTGTCTTGAAAAGAGATGGCAGCGGAATGAAAAGTCAAGAGGTTGTTGCTGCGAAGCACAGAAGGCTTGCCCGCACCCTAGAGGATATAGGCACATTCTTTGTCCCTCTCTCTAGGCTATGGGCGTTTCAATTTTGAAACTTCCGCCCCCGGCTTCTACTTGTTGCGACTAATAATGATTAATAGCGATTAGTCGTGGATTTAACCTATGAAACTGGTGATGAATACCGTGATTTACAGCAGCAAACTCATGGATTCAACATGATTTCATCATATAACCACAGATTAAAGTCGATCTTTTTGGATGGCCCGTTTTCTTCGAAAAATACGCATAAAGTGAGCATCCAAAAAATTGAGCCAGTAAATCACCAGATTTTCACTTGAGAAGTGGAGTTCGGTGCCACCAAGGACATGCAACACGACATGAACAATCGCCTGCTGTTGCTCTTGGATCCCATCTCGGCAAAGATGCCGACTTTGTCGGGGAATCAGGTCATGGACCATGTGCCTGGAATTCGTAGTTTGTGGGGAACTGGAGCAAACCAGTTGCACTTCAAGCCTGAAGATGCGATGCGTGCGATGGATCACGCACACAGATATAGCGCGCACACACACACATGAATATATTTAATATATTTATATTATGGATTACAATTATGGATTATATGAAGTTTGGCGCAGATCATCTGAAAAATGACAGGGCCATTTTGTTGGGCGTAGATGTGCCCCAGACCACTGAAGGACTGCGACTCGTCCAGCCCTCACACCTATTACCTGATATCCAGAGTAAACGGGCTGGACCTGCGAACAACTTCTGATCTTGAATTTTGATGGTTAAATCCCCGTATAATGATTGGGCTGGTTGAGCCCCGTTTGATGGTTAAATCCCTAAAAACTATAAACATCATCATTTGTCTACTTGAATCCCTATGATCTCTATTTTCTGATGGTTAAATAAATAAATAAATAAATATATATATATATAAATCCATTTGACTCCGTGATAAATTGGTGTGTTGAATTCTGCTATGATCTAGTCCCAGTTTTTGATGGTTAAATCCACCTTTGTGATAGCCAAATCCCAATTTCCATTGGTTAAAACCAATATGTTTTCCTTTTTGTGATGGTCAAAGTGACGCTTTTGTTCCCATGTTTGACGTTTCAATTCCCCCGTGGATCCGGGCAGCCGGACACCCAGGAGCTTTTGCTGGATATGGAGCGGAATCGCGAGATGCCCGCCTTCGACACCATGTGGCGTAACCTCGCCGGAGAGGTGGAACAAGGCGGTGCCGGCAGCGAATGCTCACAGCCATGCTATCATCGGGGCAAGGTCAAACTTTGCCAATCTGAGTCCGAAACTTTCCGTTGCTAAGTTAAACAGAGGCAACTTCACATCATTTCAACTTTTTACATTTTCATATGTTCCTCCAGTTTTTCACAGTTTTTCCATGATTTTTTCTCCTCCAAAATTGGTTGGTTCCAGCCCATTTCCTCCATTGACCCGGTCCAGGGGGCGACCTGAAACGCGGCCGCCGCAGCAGCACCCAGCTGCGACGGGGCAGTTTCGTCGCCAGAAAGTCCAGCAGCCAGGTGCCATGGAGGTGGTTGGAATATATTGTAATGTGGGTAAAACAATAATAAACCACATCATGTTTGATGGTTTATACCACCCATTTATGGTGATTTGGGGGATGGTTTATTATTGTTTTACCCACGTTACAGCATATGCGAATATTAACATAATGAATTAAAACAATGTAATCAACGATATATTGATGTAGTATGACATGCTATGATGCGTTATGATACGATATGATGTGATGTGAGATGTGAAATATGATGTCTGGTTTTTGATATGTGTTTTGTGATATACGATTGATGATTTTGGTATATGATATGGCATGACACATGGCATGACATGTTTTCCCGATTTGTTTTGGTTTAGAAATCCCTTAGAATGGAATGCGTCAGTCATAATTCATCCATCATTTTTCATGGCTTTCCACTATAGTATCCGATTGTAAAAAGTTGGCGTTTTCAAGGTCGCCCACCCCATAGGGCAGCTCAACGGGTGCCTCCGTGCCTGAACTGGGCAGATCTCATTGAACACCTACATGGGCAAGGTGTCCGTCATGAGCTTCCGAGGCGAGCAAAGATTGGGGGAGTTGAAGGTGGTTTCCAGGGACGGTGGACAGGTCCTAAGATTCCCGAAAGATGGTGGACTTTATATTTTTTGCTCAGTTATTTCGGACAAACATAATTGAATCGGTGGTTTTCAACGGTTTGTCAATTTTCAACCGGCAGCGTGGCCAGGCCCGCGAAGAGGCAGAGGCGGGAGCCAGTGGAAGCGTCAGGGTGGACATCAGAAAGTAACAGAAACCAGGTTTGGGCTTCAGGGAAAACCTACAGGAAGACCAGGCAAAACGTGTAAAACCAGTGTTTCCCGTAATTCTTTCCCAAATCAATCCATTGCAACTGAAGTCAACAAGCAGTTGGTGAGGATCTTCCTAGACCAAATATATAGGTGGATGCTCACTCCCGCCGTTGCATTTGGTCGCGATTCGGACTTTGACCAAGACTGAGGATCTCAACTTCAACCAACGAGTTGTGGATTTTGAGCAAAAGAAGAGGGCAACCATGGGGCCTAAGTCCACAATATTGGCTGCGGGTTACAATTCAGACCCAGAGACTAGAGACCACAGATTCTCTGAACATACGTGCGTACATACATGAATGCATGCATACATTACATACATTCAACACATACATTACTTACATCGCATACATTACATACATTACATACACTGCACACATCACATACATTGCATGCATTATGCAAATTATGCACATTACATACTTTACACCCATACATTACATACTTTAGCCATGTCATGACATGACATGACATGATGTGAAATGATGTATATACTGCTGGTAGTTCCAAAGAATTCAGAATGCAGGATATGAAATGATATGAAACGATATGAAATGAAATGGTATGATATGATAATGACATGACAGTATATACATTGCGTGCATTACATGCATTACATGCCTGACATGCATTACATTATTTACATGGGTTGTCTTTCATTAATGACATTAGTTAGTTAAAAATTACAGTATTCACATCAATAACGTTCATCACATTACAAATCACCATGAATTGATGAATAATTGAGGGGGCAGTGGCCGCGAGTGGCTGCAGGTGGCTGCCCCGATGTGTGCCTGCACATGAAAATACATCAATTAGATCAATCACATACTAATCACATACACATGGTGTAGTGACTGTAGTGGTAAATATTGATCATACTAATAATGACATTGATATTTACCACATTACACCAGTATTAATGACATTGGCATACATAGATTCAGGGAGATTACGCACACAACCCACCAAGACCATCCCATTGTGGTGAATTCCCTCCGGAGGCGAACAGAGCCCAGGGCTGGCCAGCGACAGCTCATGTGACCAAGTTGACGGTCGGATGTCGAGCACCCGAACAGAGGCCGCTTGGCAACGGTTGTGACGAAGGATCGAACGGTGGCAGAAAAAGGGGCAGTGCTTAGCACTTGGATTCAATGGGATACAATGATGTTATTAATACCTTCCGGTTATTGAACATAGCGAACTGGAAAATGGCCCATTTCTAGTTGATTTACCTATTAAACATTGTGATTTTCCGCAGTTATGTTAGTTTACCGGAGGGTATATATATATACATATGCATATAATAAAACATACTGGGATATAATCAGCAATATGATTTAAATAATTTGGTTAACCCAATGCCATAGCCCATCCCAAATTTTTGGGCGAAGACGCACTTGTTACTTTAGCGTCATGAGATCATTAAGGATAGAATTTCATGACATTTTTTTTTGGCATCTGGACCATACGTTTTGGTGAAGCTTGGTTGGGTAGGCTACATATGATGCATAATAGTATATTTTCATTGTGTATTTTTGGAATGTTTGCCGGGGCCCATGTTTTATGAACCAGGTTGTTACTTCTAGTTCGAATCCAGGATCTCCTTATTAGAAGCTAGCGACCGCCACAACCCACAGTATCCCAGTTGCTAACCACCATTACGCATAGTGAATGACAGCTGTATCCAATAGTAAACCAGGTTTTTTTTGGGCAAAAAATCATATTAAAGAAATTGGTGAGTCATTTCCAAGTTACCAATCATTAGTCGTTTCCAGTCGTTTCCAGTTACAACAGTGGTATAGGTCAGATAGATAGATAGATATGATAGATAGATGATCAGATTTACAGATAGATAGATAGATAGATAGATGATCAGATATGCGAAAATGCTGCATTTATGGAAGATTCGTTTTTTAGGAATACCTGGTGATTTGCGAACTGGAAACCACGGCCCATTTAGTTTGATGATTTACCATGATTTGCCTCTAGAAAATGATGATACATATTGGGATACCTGGGGGCCTTATGGAATATCACCAGATTTTGGACATTTTACTGGAAAATACCAACAGTACTGTAAATAGTTGGACCACGGCCTTTAGAAGGCCGTGGTGTTTTGTACACATCGGGGTGGTGGGGTGGGGTGGGGTTGGGTGGGGTGGGGCATGTAATAACGTTCATGTAAACTTGCGGAAGAAGGACATGCTTGTCTGTGGCTGCCGGTAGGTGCATGTATGCACGGGTGTGGGGCATGTAATAACGTTCATGTGAACTTGCGGAAGAAGGACATGCTTCTCTGTGGCTACTGTAAGTTCTCTGGAACTTTCCACTCATGCGTCATGCTACGTTACTGTAAGTTCTCTGGAACTTTCCACTCATACGTCATGCTACGTTACTGTAAGTTCTCTGGAACTTTCCACTCATGCGTCATGCCACGCTATGGTAAGTTCTCTGGAACTTTCCACCCATGCGTCATGCCACGCTATGTAAGTTCTCTGGAACTTTCCACTCATGCGTCATGCTACGCTATGGTAAGTTCTGTGGAACTTTCCACTCATGCGTCATGCCACGCTATTGTAAGTTCTCTGGAACTTTCCACTCATACGTTATTTTGATTCAAGAGCTATGTGGGCCAGGTTTCTGTAGAGCACAGGCTGACATGATCATATACATATATCCATGTAGACATTTGTGTACACATTTGCAGCTGCATATGTATTACATATACATTACATTTATGCATCACATATCATATATTTAAGATTCAAGATCTTGTAATATATGTCCGTAAGATCTTATTTACACAAAATCAGATCTTACGGGCATTTGCGCATATGTGAAAAACAATGATGGGGGCATATGTGACACATATTGCCCATATATGTTGTAAATAAATGCAGAAGCTATATGTATATATGTATATGCCCTCTAGGCCCTCTACAGAGTATAGCTTTTGAACCAAGATAACTCATATGTCATGCTACGTTACTGTAAGTTCTCTGGAACTTTCCACTCATGCGTCATGCCACGCTATTGTAAGTTCTCTGGAACTTTCCACTCATACGTTATGCTACGTTACTGCAAGTTCTCTGGAACTTTCCACTCATGCGTCATGCCACGCTATTGTAAGTTCTCTGGAACTTTCCACTCACGCTACGTTACTGTAAGTTCTCTGGAACTTTCCACTCATGCGTCATGCCACGCTATGTAAGTTCTCTGGAACTTTCCACTCATGCGTCATGCCACGCTATTGTAAGTTCTCTGGAATTTTCCACTCATACGTCATGCTACGTTGCTGTAAGTTCTCTGGAACTTTCCACTCATGCGTCATGCCACGCTATTGTAAGTTCTCTGGAACCTTCCATGCATACGTCATGCTACGTTCCAACATTGCCGGGAGACAAACGTTGGACCGGTCTCGGAAGTCTTTGAAAGATCTCTTGACAGGTCACATGGTTTTGAAACACAAAGACCGTGGGCATTCGACGATGCACCCGTCAGTGACACAATATGTGTTCATGTGGTGCTGGCGTTGTACCTTAAACAATCCAGATCCGCAAAGGTTCTTGGAAGAACTCGAAGCGTTGCTGTGACCAACACAGGAATCAAAACATGTCAGGTTGAATATTTTGAGAATTCTCACAAACCCCAAAAATGGTAGTTTCGTCTAGGCGAAATGCTTGTTTTTGAAAATATGCACCAGAATAAGGGGTTAACGGCCTTAAAAACCACATCAAAACATGTCAGGTCGAATTAGTTTGGGAATTCTCAAAAACATCAAAAATGGTAGTTTTGTCTAGGCGAAATGCATGTTTTTGAAAATATGCACCAGAATAAGAGGTTAGCGGCCTTAAAAATCACATCAAACAAAATCCTATTGGCACGAGCACATCAAAAATCATCCATGATACACCGTTGATCACAAAAAACCCAAGGCCTTCTAAAGGCCGTGCTCCTAGTTTTCCTAGCCGAAGCTAGGGCACGGTGACCTGATGGCGGTGGAGAGAGAAATAGGAACGACAGTGGACATTTTAAATACGAGGTTTCGGGTTGACCGTTTACCCAGATATTATTCCTGATATGGCTATGGATGAAATACCTGACGCCCCGGTGAACCTTACAAGAATACCTGTGGCGATGAATAGCTGATAAACCGATGTTCACGCTTCCATTCGCATGATATCATAGCTTTTGACCGGATCTTTTGACCGGATTTGACCCATACTCGCACACACCCAGCAAAACATAGGGTTTATCGGATTTAACCCATAAGAAATTGGGGATGGTACCAACAAGACAAGGCTTCGTTTGTTTCGCGCGCAAGTGATTGCAGATGCAACGGCACATTTCAAGTTCTTGGCTGCAGGAATCCAAGAGCCGGAAGCGCTCCGAGGTCTGGAAAGTGGTACTGGGGACCCAGGGGGAATGAGATGAAGATTTCACATGGTACCCAGCCCACAGAGCTGTATTTTCATGATGAAGAGTCAGGTAACAATAAGTGTAACGTTTGGTTTCATCATCCGATTTTCGTGGCGTGCGATCTTGAGCCCATTTGAGCATTCCTATCGCCTTTGCAGCCGAAAAGTGTGCCTGTCACATGGATCCATGAGGTGAGCATGATGTCAGAGGGATTCACGGCATGCCAGGAGCGGATGGGCGTCAAGGTGAAAGAATTGGAGGAGTATTACTCCAGCTATGGTCTTGGCCGTTTCCCTGGATGACCTTGGATGGGGCGAGGGAAGCTGCAACTTGCAACCAGAGGAGGCGATCAGCCCACACACGAGAATTCTAGGAGGAGGGATGGGCTGTTTCTGAGACAGCCAACCTCAGTCATCGCTGGTTTGTGGATCCCTGAGCTACGCCCCACTTGTTGCTTCTTTGACTGCACTGGGTTGCCAGTAAACCACCATTGTGAAGTTGCCAGAAGTTATCGGGAATTTTGCGTGCCCACAGGCACACGCACACACACACACACACATTGTTTTTTCTCCTTTTCTCCTTTTCTCTTTCTCTCTCTCTCTCTATATCTCTCTCTCTATATGCATATATAAAGATAGGCAGACATATATAGATAAAAACATTGTCCATATTAGATATACTGTTTATATCTATTTCCGTTTGTCCAAATCTTCATGTTATGAGACTCCCGCCTCTTGACCTCGCACCACTCGTGGCTCAGCCAGCGGCCCTGGCCGCAGCGCCCATGCAGCGCCCGCCGCAGTACGCGCGCCGCGGGCGCACGTTGGACGCAGACGCCGTCCGGAGGTAGCGCTTCCCACTGGTCATCAAACAGTTGTCCAGTGAGAGCTTGGGAGAGATCCACCTGATTTTGATTGTGAAACTAACAAATTCTATTGTGGCAGTTTTCTGGACTACCTGAACCATGGGGGGCGTTAGGTTCAATGCATCTGGCCTGGCTATATTGGCTATATCTGAAGACGTATGTCAATCTTCTTACTCCCGATTTTTTAAAATCAACACCCAATCTTTCTTGACATCTTAAAACATCTCAAGACATCCCACTCGAAGTCATTGGTGGATCCCTCTCATCGTGGTCACCGCCGCGCCTTTCGCCGAAAGCGCCATGTCGCCCCTGCTGCAGCATCCGCCGCCGCGGCCACCACGGGCATCGGAGGAGCAAGAGCTTTCCGAAGAGGAAGGCCTTGACCGAGCAGTTTTGATGACAGGCCATGGATCCATGGTGGGTTGGTGATTCATGATGATTATTGGTGATAAATGTCAAGTCAAGATATGTCCTCGGATGAAGAAATTCCGACTATTTTAGGTTAACTCCCAAAATAGTGATCGATTACTGTTGGTATGTCCATGAATTGAGGAATTATCAATCCTGGGTTAACATTACATATTTTTTAAAGCAAGGAACATGTGGAAAAAGTGCTAGGTATCCAATAATCTGGTTGGTGATTGTGGTTTCAAAGTATAATTTTCGGACATCTACCAAGAACTGATGGGGATATACTATGCTAGAGAATGAATCTGATTAGGTCATCCAGCGATCTTGATGGCGCGATTGGAAGGGTTGGTGGGTCGGCCAGTCAGTATCTATCAGATCACTATTGGTAAGGCTTTGCAGTCAATCATCACTGGCCACTAGTTAGTTCTGATAGAGAGAGGGGATTACTCTAGAGAGAGCATGTTGGTGGGTGAATGTTGTTCTTCTTTCTGTTGGCTGGGAAGAAGTTAACTGATTTCTCTAGGGCACCCTTGGGTTCTCAAACTGACGCACTGCGCAAGGTGATGAGTTCGATGCCTTGGGATTTGCCTCGGCTGCCGACACTGGGGTGGGGCAGTCGGCTCTGGCATATGCCCAGTGGTTCCAAGCCAAAGCTACGAGGACAGGTTGGTGGTGCGGATGTGTTGCTTAGGATGAAGCCACCCCCAGATCGGATGCAAATTATAGACTTACTGCGGTGGTAAGACCGCTGCTGAGTTCTTCAAACTGTTCTATAACCCCAAATCTCCCAAATCAGGTTGGAAAGTGCGAGCTGTTTCCTAGATTTTGTTGCCTCAATTGTGTGGCTCCAGTTGGAGTTGACTCCAAAAAACCAGGCACTCTTCAAACTTCACATGCAAGATTACTTTGCAACTCTAATTCCAATCATTTTTTTGACATTTCCTCAGTTTCCTCTAGGATTTTCTGGCCGTTTGGAGCCTGGGTCTCGAGGCTCCACATCTCAGGAGGTTGCAGCGCCTGGAACTCCGCCGAGCCAAACTCCGGACGGAGGGGGATTGGAGCAGCGTGCCCAAGCAGACCCTCAAGGCCGTCGAGATTTGAGAGCTGTTGGGAACCGCGATTTCTATGGACCTCTGTCATTTTTGGCATCATGTGGATGTGATATACATGACATGTATTTACATAGATGCTAATTTCTGTACTGCACGCGCGCGCACACCCACACACCCAAGTTTTAGAGAGATATTGAGTCTGGAGTTTTGACCCATAATTCATTACACTGCATTTGCTATGAAGTATATAGTCTTTTTTTAGATGGGCCCACAGATTGGCTGGTGACTTTGAATAAGCACCAAAGTACTTGGCATTGGGACAGCTGTTGGGAGCATGGGATGGTAAACATCCCTTCAAAAATTGACCTTTGAAAGCTCTCTTGTTTCCTAACAACCTCTAAAACATATCACCCGCAGATGGTTTGCAGCTTCATGGTGCTCTTCTCACCGGGCCAGGCATTGTTGCGCAAGGGCCTCCCTCCCGAGTACAGGCCGGAGGTTTGGTGGAGCATCCTGGGCTGCGAAGCCGTGAAGCTGCGCTCGCCCGTCAGCTACCAGCAGTACCTGGAGGAAACGGTGGATGCTGCCACCTCCGCCACCATCGAGTGCGATCTGCCGAGGACCTTTCCCAACCACAAAAAGCTGCGCAGCAGGGGTTGAAGACTGGGGGTTCACAGTGGGGGCCAATGAGGTCCCCCAAGTGCCGTTTTTGGCAGTCATTTTTCGGGGCTTTGAGTTGGGGGCTAGAATGAAACCCTGTGAAATGAGAAGATGTTTTAACATGTTCTCCGTATTTCTCAATGAAGTATCTTAATTTTTGATATTCTGTGATTAGGTGTGCGCATGGTGGACCCCAAAATACCTAATTATCCTGTCCCCAGAAAGACGTTTCCAACTTGGGGAACCCCAAAACCACCAAAAACCTGCTGGAACATGAGAAAAAACGAGTGAACAAAGTGCAGAAGCAAACCTGTGGACAAAACACTTGGAAGAGATGACATGAGATCTCTTCCCGCCAAATTCAACTCCTGCAAAAAAGGAACCCGAAATGAATTGATCTGTCAATAAACTATGCCAAACAGGGTTTCAAATGGAAATAAACTATTTTCTGCTTAGGGTGTATCACTAGCTTTTAACCCCCTTCGAAGTGGGAAATCCAGTCACTATATAACCATCCACGAATACTTGTCACTTAAGACCTTCAAGACTGGATTATAATTTAGTCCTGGAACTGGTCATATGTATATTATCCATTGGCTAGTGTATTTGGTGATTAAACATGATTAAATCACAACTTTTTACTTACCAGTGCTTCGTAGGGAATGGGGGAATGGGATGATTAATAGTCATGAAAGATCATTCCCCCATTCCCTACTAAGCACCACCAATTTTTAATAGATTATTAGTATTACTATTATTATGAATAGTATTATGATTAGTAGTACTATTTTTACTATTACTATTATCATTATCATCATTATCATTGTTATTGTTTTTAATATCATTAGTATAATTAAAATTTGGTGATTAACCATTAGTAACCATTACTGTAGATGAGGTGATTATTCCATTGATTAACCATTAGATTATTCCATGAATTAGTATCACCATTAACCACTAACCAAAATTTAGATGATTAATCCATTGATTACCCTCTGGTAAACGTTTACATAACTATGGAACATCACCATTTTTAATGGGAAAACTCACTATAAATGGCCATTTTCAATAGCGAACTGTTAAATTACCATTAACCGTTCACCATTGATTAACCATTAACCATTAACCATTATTCCATTATCATTGTATTAACCATACTTAATTGGCGATAAATAATTAAATAACCATTGGATTAACCATTAGATGATTATTCCATTGATTAAATCACCACTTTTGAGTTGGTGTCGCCCAGGTTCCGCTGCGCAGCGGGCCGCGGCGAGCTGCGCAACGTCCTGTTGGCCTTTGCGCGGCGCTGTCCGGCGGTGCGCTACTGCCAGGGTGACGTGTTTGAAGCGTGGGAACCGTGGGAACGCTGGGGGTGGGCATGGTTAGTCATGAAACATGGGGACATACTTGGGAATGGATCATTTTGTTTATGTATACGATATGCAAGATATGCTATAATTGGCTATAATCGTGGGAAAACATGGGTATGATGATGTAGAATATAGGAGTTGCCTGTAATCTGGCAAAAGTAACCAAAATGGTTAAAATGTGAGGGCAAAATCATCCAAGCCACCGGACGTTTTTTTTGGGAAACCCAGTGGTGACATGGCCCTCCCATTTTAGGAAACCTTCAACACCAGGGGGTACCCCAATTGATGGCAAATTTATAAATTTTCAGGCGACCCCATGTGGGTCTAGATCGAAAGGAATTGACAAACACCATGATGTGCTCCCATTATACCTGAAAAAACATGGATGATTAGATAGACATGATCGGCACCATAAAAATTGAATAACATTGCCCTATCGGCCTGGTTTAATGAGGTCCTTGGGACTGAGGTTTTGTCTATTTGATTCTTTTGAGGTTGTTTTTTTGGCAGACTTAGACGTGCAGGGTCCCCACCCCAATTCCCATCATTTAAAAATTGAGGGCATGCCTTCAAAATGCGCTCAGGATTTTTTGACCTCACTCAGCTCATGGTTTCTTCAATGCTTGACCACCATTAATCACGCTTTGTCAAATTCTCTGTTTGATGATTGGGCATATTTCATAGCTTAACGCCAGAGGTAGCCCATGTACCTTGGATACTGTACAAATCATGATGAATCATCACAAACAACACAAATAAGCAATTTTGGGTTCTAGAGGGGTTTAATGATGATTTACCCACATTACCTATTGGTTTATAGCACCCATCCCACATTCTATTCACCAATTTCGAATCCTTGGGGCCCCAGTGGACCTTTCGTGGTGTTTTTCGACCTGAAACCTCCACGAGGTTTGAATTTCATCGCTGCCCTATTGCTGGTGGTTTTTCAGAATGAGGATGGGTGGCAAGGTGGCAATGGACAATCACGACCTTTAAATACCTTTAAGGCCATTTGGTGGTTGTACCAATTTGTACCTATTTGGTGGTTTCTATGAATAGGGGTACCCCCATGTGAATTTTGACGTTGGTTTGCTTTGTGTTTGACTATCCAGTTGCCTCAAGCACTTGTCTTTGCATGGAAATGACCGTTGCCATTCAAGCGGTCTGCCCTTTTGTACCATCCATCTGCGATCTGTGCGCCATACGGAAAATCGACGTGGCGTCTTTCTATCGTGGGTGCTTGAAAGCCTGGTTAGTGATTAGATCCATCATACTCAAGCGGGAGTTTGATCCTTGAACCTTTGGGAAAGAACATTGCTGCCATCCGCTCTACCATTCACATGGTAGCGGAGCCTGGCTCCTGCTAGGCTGGCTGTGTGAGAAAGGAGAACATGGCAACGGACAGAGATCAGGATGGAACCGACCACAAGATTCCAACATGGAATGGGGACTGGACGACCTTTTCTGACTATGTCCTACGAGTGGAGCTTCGGGCCGATGCCACGAAGAAGGATGACAAGTTTCTCTTGGGTCCACGTTTAGCTGGAAATCTCACTGGCCGAGCGTTTGACGCTCTTGGGGAAGTCAACCGAGAGGAGCTTCGTAAAGAAGGTGGATGGAAGTACCTATTGGAGTTCCTTGAGAGCAGGAGAGGCAAAGAGAAGATTGACGTACTTGGTGACCTCTTCACTGAGTTCTTTGTGAAAAAGGAGTCTCATCGAAAGGACGGTGAGGATCTTACCGACTATGAACCCCGTTTTCGACAGCTGGTTCGACGTCTTGACAAGGCAGTGGCTGACACTGGCTCTACTGGGAAAATTCCCACAGAGCTGTACGGGTGGGTTCTGCTCAATCTGTACATGAAGCTGGATGCCTCCGATGCTGCGAATGTGAGAGGTCGAGCCGAATCATACAAGCTGGATGATATCATGGGGGCTCTGAAGAAGATGTGGTCGGGCGGAGGACTCTGCACCAAGGACTTGGAGAGAAAGAAAAGAAAAGATGGTCAGACCTATGTCGCGCAACAGACCTCTGAACCATCAATCTATCATGAGACGGAGGAGACCTATGAGAAAGATTCTGTGAATGAGGAACTTGAAGAGCAGGCCATCCTTGAAGATGCCACTGCATGGTATCAGGAAGCTCTTGATGCTCTGTTGGAGGAACCAGAAGATTCCACCATCCTGGCAACTTTCAAGGAAGCTCGCAAAGCGCTCGATGCAGCGCGGACGGCGCGTGGATTCTATCCAGTTCGGAATCCCAATGCTCGTCGCGAGGGCTACAAGGGCTTTGGCAAGAAGGGCTACTCTGGCAAAGGTGGTGACAATCCACATGCTGACAAACAGTGCCTCCGATGTGGAAAACGAGGTCACATTGCCAGAAACTGTCCTCAACGTCCTCAGCAAGGCCGAGGCAGTGCTGAAGGAAATGGGGGCATTGGCTTTGTAGGATGGAATGAAGAAGCGGATCAAGGTCAACAGGGGAGTGAGGTGTACCAAGTTTCTCCGGTGTCGCTCAATACCCATGCAATTCTGGATTCTGGAGCCAGTGACAACATTGTTGGTGTTGAAACTCTTCAAGACTGGTCAGAACAGCTGGAACTTTTGGGTTTTGCTGCGGCTGATGAGATCTATGTGGATCGACAACAGCACAAGAGGTTCACCTTTAGCAACAATGCCAGTGCCGCAGCTCTTGGAAAAGCCTATGTGAATGTCGGCCTCTTTGGGCATTAGCTGGAAGTGGAGGTTCATCTCGTTGAGGGCGCTACGCCCTTCCTGCTGAGTGCGAAGTTTCTAGCAGATTTGAATGCCACCGTAAATTTCAGAAATGGCACAGCTGTGTTCCGTAAGCTTTCAAATGAACAGTATGTTTTGTCCCGAACCGCAGGCGGACACCTAGCTGTTCCCTTGTTAGCATATGCCGGAAATTCCAGCGTGTACATAGAGAGTCGTGTCTCTGAGCCAGATCCCGTTGTACAGGCCATGGATTCTCCTGAGTCATCAACTGATGATGATTCCTCCGATTTGCCTAGTGCTGAGAAGGGCAGACCTGAAGATGACCAGCACTAGGGACAGCTCCACCAAGACAATTTTGAACCTAGCAATTTTTGTGTCTTGAGTGGGGAGGATAGATTAGCTGGGAATGCTGCGACAGAAGAGCATGTGTCTAGTGAAGAAAGTGTTGTTTATCATGGTAGTGGTGTTTGTGGTTCGTGTGGGACTGTTTCGGGTAGGAACCTTTTGACTGGACAAAGGAATGAGATCATGAGTAGCATGCGCACGGAACTTCAAGAAGGAGTCCAAGCGTTGCAAGAGATTCTTCAGGGAGCCCGTCTTGACCTTTTGGAGATATGTGCGCCATGGGATAGCCCACTCACGAAGGCAGTGGAAGAAGCTGGTGGCAGAGCCTTTGCACTAGGACTTCATAATGGGTACGATCTCACGACTAGGTCAGGATTTCATAAAGCTGCTCAGTTCATGCGAGAAATGAAACCCAGGTATGTTCACATCTCTCCTCCTTGTTTTCCTTGGTCACCCATGCAGAATTTGAATCAGAGTAGAGAACAAATTCAACGGTTACTTGAGCTTCGTAGAAAGCATCGGAAGCTGCTACACCACTGTCGCCGTCTTGCTGAAATTCAGGTTTTGGAAATGAACAGTCATCTGAGTTTCGATGAAAAACAAATGGATTTCCATCATGCGGGTTTTGAACATCCTCTTAGGGCAGTCAGCTGGGGACTCGACGAAGTCAGAGTCGTGGTTAGGCTGTGTGGGGGTGAGCGCTTCCGTGTTGATGGGTGTCGGCATGGCTTGATCAACAAGGATAACCACAAATTGTTCCATAAACCTTGGGGCTGGTGTTCCACTCATCAAGGTATAAGGAATGCTTTGGAGTTGAAGTGCAATCATCAACCTTGGGAACATGATCGTATTGAAGGAAAACACACGTCTCAAACTGCTGTTTATCCCTTTCTTTTGTGTCGACGGTTTGCCAAAGCTTTGATGAAAGATCTGGAATCTTTGTTTTCTGTTTTTGGAGAAGTTAATAGTGTGTTTTTAGGAGAAAACCCTGAGGAAGAAGAGCATGATGGGGATTCCCCTGAAAATGTCGTGCCGGTGGAAGACGCAGAACCCGGAGAAGCACTGAGGTTTACTCCAGCAGAACTCCAGCAGAAACTAAGGATCATTCATCGGAACTTAGGACACCCATGTCAGAGCACCATGTTGCGGTTGCTTCGCGACGCTGGAGCTGATGCTGAGGTACTATCAGAGGCTGCGAAGTTTGAATGCCCAGAGTGTTTGCAGCGCGGTCGTCGATCATCGACACAACCAGTTGCACCAGCGACCGTGAGAGAGAAGTGGCATACTGTTTCGGTTGATACCTTTTGGTGGAAATATCCCGAAAAAGCTTTGGCCCCCAAGGAGAAGAATCAACATGTTGTGGGTTTGAGCATTTTTGATGAAGCCACTGATTTTCATGGTGCTGTTCTTATCCGGATGGGTTCTGGGGGTCCTATGCATAACATATCGGGGGAAGAATTCACTCAAGCCTTTTCCGAGGGTTGGTTACAAAGATATCCTGCCCCTGTTGTTCTCAGGTATGACGAAGAAGGATTTTTCCGGGGTCTGAAGTTGAAAGAATTTTTGGAAAAATTTGGGATCAAACTTGAACCCATTGCTGGAGAATCGGCTTGGCAAATGGGTAAGCACAGTAGGCACCTTCAAACCCTGAAAGAACAGATAAATCTTCTTGCCAGTGAACTTGGCGCCAGTTTTGAGCCTCATCAACTTTTGGCCTTGGCGCTTAGTGCCAAGAATTCTCTGCACAATATCCGGGGGTATAGTCCTCACCAATGGGCCTTCGGTAGGAGTCATCAACGGATTGCCTCATTTCTTCAAAACTACGACAATTTACCTTTGCAGTCTCAAAGGCAGGAACTTGATTTTGAGGAATCACTGCAAGTGGAAACGAAGGCACAGAGAATTTTCTTGGAGGCTGACGCAAAGAGGCGATTAGCCAGGGCACTCAGACACCGCTGTAGGCCGTTGAAAGAGTTCCAAACAGGACAGTTGGTGTACTATTTCAGAAAAGGTCGAAAGGAAGGCTCAAGGTATGGAGGTAAGTGGTATGGACCAGCCAGGGTTTTGTGTCATGAACGAACTAATCTCGAAGCTGGGAGAGAACACCTGGGATCAATTGTTTGGGTGAGTCATGCTGGGGTTTTGTTGAGATGTTCACCGGAACAAATACGACCTGTCACTAGGGAACTCAGTAGCGTGGATTTGGAAATTAACGGGCCCAGAAACTTTCATTCAATGATGGAGAAAATTTCTCAACAACTGAAGTATCTTGATTTGACTGATCAGTTCGATGCACCATGGTAACCAGAGAGAACATATGACGAGGACGATGCGCCCCGTTATCGGCTCAATTCCAAAAGACCAGCTGACGAACTTTTCCAACCTCCCTTAGTGCCTCTCGACGAAGACTCTGTTGAGCTTCGACCCCATGGCGACCAAGATGGACTTGAAGACTCTGTACCAGAAGAGCCAGGAGGGAAACGAATCAGAAGAGATCCAGCAGTTCCAGAATCTGTCGATGGAAGAGATGGAACAGGAAGTGATGAGCTTCGGCAAGTACCAGAAGAAGACATTTCCGGTGGCCTACGAGGACAAGGGCTACGTGAAGTGGTGCGTGGAGCACGCCGATTACGACAAGTCCGGCCAGGGCATGAAGAAGTGGTTGGTGTACCTGCGTCGCAGGTTGGAGATGGAAGTTCAGGAGAAAGAGGTCAACGAAAGCGGCGGCCCTCCAAAGATGCCAGCCAGCTCCGTGAGGAACAAGGCGAAGACTGCATCTCACACCCATCTCCCGGACAAAGTCGTGGAGACCAAGATTCCCATGGACCTGATGAGCGAGATGAGCGGGGAGTGGGATCCAGTGGAAACCACGAAGTTGGAGATTCTGGAAGGGGAGCTGATGCAAGTCTCTTCTCGTCTGGATCAAGTCGAAGGACTGCACCATCGCATGAACCAGGTGGAGGGTGTCCTCCAGGAGATCCTATCAGTCATGAAATCGAAGGCCGCCGCATGAGCTCTTTTGAGCGGGCAGCAGCGGCACTCCAGAGTACAGTTGTGAGGCAGGTAGGAACTCAGCGATGTAAAGTAGCCACGGCATCCAATTGCAATCAAGCCTTCTTGACAGTTGATTCTCGGGTTGGTGTTGGTGATCAGCGTTGTGATTTTTCTGATTTGGTTGGTTCCTCTGCTGTTGTTGAAATGGAGTTTCAAATTGCTCCTCGTGACATCCACTCTCGACGTGGAGTCTGGGTTGTGAATCAAAAAGTTCAAAAAGTCAAGAAAAATGCCGAGGTAGTGTATCGGAAACTCTCAAAGGAGGATCAAGCTGAGTTTGATCGTGCGATGAAGAAGGAGATTGATTCTTATGTTTCCAGTGAGGCTGTTCGGATTTGTGAGTCTCATGGAATTCCTCCGGAGAGAGTGATGCAAATGCGCTGGGTTCATACATGGAAGGTAGACACTAATTCAGCTGGTGAAATTTCTGGTAAGCGAGCGAAGTCTCGACTTATCATCAAGGGATTCCAGGATCCGCGATTGGTAGATTTGCCTCGGGAGGCTCCAACTTTGTCCACCATGGGCCGCAATCTCTTAGTCTCTGCAGCTAGTAGAAACCGAACTCCGTTGTGTGCAGGAGATATAAAGACTGCCTTTTTGCAAGGTGAGCAGTCTGAGCTTGATGAGGAAATCTATGGTTTACCACCACCGGAAGTTCGGGCTCATCTGCAAATGACCCCAACTCAAATTTTGCGAATTGCCAAGGCGATTTACGGTCTCTTGAATGCTCCTAAAGCTTGGAATGAGTCTCTTTGTTCTTTTCTGCGAAGTGATGGTTGGATTCAACATCAATTGGATCAGTGTCTTTTCAAGTGTGTTCATGCTGGTGAGGTTGTTGGTTACCTTGGAATTCATGTTGATGATGTCATTACCACGGGTTCGGGTCCGGAATATGAAGCTGCTTTGACAAGGCTAAAAGCCAAATTCAAAATTGGATCATGGGACAATGCTCAAGAAACTACTCTGACGTATTGTGGTTGTGAGATTCGTCAGGATCCGAATTTTGGAATTCAGATAAAACAAGAACGTTTTGCTCAGGAGATTTCAGACATTGTCCTTTCTCAGGAACGACGTGCGCAGACTCAAGATCCTATCTCTACTCAGGAGAAGACTGAAATGAGACAGCGGCCTAAATTGGCGGGCTACTCAAACGGCACCTTGGATGCTAGCAACAGTGTCTCTGCTGCAAGGGTGCGTGGAGAGTGGCATGGTTTCTGATTTGTTATTGGTCAACAAACTCATCCGTTTAAATCGTAAGTACTTTGATCAGGGTCTGTATTTTCCTCCCATGAAAAACAAATGCACTCTTGTCACTTTCACTGATGCGAGTTGGGCCACACGGCGCGATAGTAGCTCTCAAGGGGGTCAAATCACTCTGTTAATGGAAGAAGGAGCCCTGAATGGTTGTAAACCCCCCTTTCATGTGATTTCTTGGAGTAGCCGTCGTTTGAAAAGAGTGGCTCGATCATCAACTAGTGCGGAGACACAAATGTGTGCCAATGCCTTGGATCTTCATGAGTTTGTTAAGCTGTCGTTTTTGGAACTGGAAAGTCCCAAACCTTTAGTCCTCGCTAACTCGGACCTGTTTTTGAGCCGTTGGAAAACTTGTATGATTGTTGATGCGAAGAATGTTTTTGATGCTGTTTGTAAAATTGAGACTGCAGGTTTACAGTTAGAGGAAAAGAGGACGGCCATTGAACTACTAGCCATCAAGCAGAGATTGCAGCAAGCCCTGGTGGACCTACGATGGGTCAACAGTGACCAACAGATGTCAGATGCTCTGACAAAACCATGGCAACATGAAGGTCTTATTCGAGCACTTCAAGGAAGCATGTGGAGAATCGTTTATGATCCATCCTATCAGTCTGCCAAAAGAGTCCGAGCTTTGAAATAGTCCCAGCAAAATCCCGAGATGTATGCTCTTTACTGTCCTTGGGATCTGGCCACTGAAACGAGTCTTGAGGCAAGAGAAAATTTTGATCGGTGTGAATTTTGACGTTGGTTTGCTTTGTGTTTGACTATCCAGTTGCCTCAAGCACTTGTCTTTGCATGGAAATGACCGTTGCCATTCAAGCGGTCTGCCCTTTTGTACCATCCATCTGCGATCTGTGCGCCATACGGAAAATCGACGTGGCGTCTTTCTATTGTGGGTGCTTGAAAGCCTGGTTAGTGATTAGATCCATCATACTCAAGCGGGAGTTTGATCCTTGAACCTTTGGGAAAGAACATTGCTGCCATCCGCTCTACCATTCACACCCCAAAATGGCTGGTTTATCCTGGAAATTAAGATTAAAATGGATGATTGAGGAGTACCCCCATTTTAGGAAACCTCCATTTTCCATTATAATTAATGGAATCCAAGCAGCGAATCAGATTTTCCATTCGTGGAATCTTATTTGGTATATAATTATATAATGGAAAACATCTAAAGACGGGGTGAGATTCCATTGCCAGATTAGATGAGGAGAGGGTACACTCGCTGCAAAGCGACAACTTTAAGCAGCACATTCTCTTCGGCTTGTCTCAGTAGCAACATGTACTCGTATGATCTTGTATGTATATAATAATAACAATAATAATTAATAACAATAATATTATATATATATGGGTATGGGTCACAATTTAATTAAGACCCAGGGGGCCACAGGTTGCCTGGTCTATTTCTAGTGTTAACCATCTATTATCTAATTATCTAATTCTTGGGATCCCCAATTTTGACCCATGTCGATATAGCTACATGATAGCCAAGATACCCAGGATGGTTGCCACAATCTACCTATTTATCGACCTATTTATCTACCTATTTATCTACCTATTTATCTATCTATTTATCTGCCTATTTATCTGCCTATCTACCTACCTAATCTATCTATCTATCTATCTATCAATCAATCAATCAATCAATCAATTATCTATCTATCTATCTATCTATTGATCCATCCATCTATCTATCTATCTATCTATCTATTGATCCATCCATCTATCTATCTATCTATTTATCTATCTGTCTATCTATCGATCTATCTATCTATCTATCTACCTATATTTATTTATTGATTCATTTGTTTCTTTTTATTCATGTATTTATTTTTTATTCATTTATTGTTCTTATTCATTCATTCATTTATGTATTTATTTATTTACAATATTTATATTAGTAGTATCTTCATGTTATTCTCGTTGGCCTAGCGAAAGTCAGCAAGCCGTTGAGATTTGACAGTACGTGGATGATAAGTCAATAGAAAACTGTCGATTTTCAACAGACAAATAGGCACAACTGGATAAACACACGCGAACACAGATATAAAAGATACACATGCATATGTATGTATGTAATGTAATGTAATGTAATGTAAATGTAAATGTAAATGTAAATGTAAATGTAAATGTAAATGTAATGTAATGTAACGTAATGTAATGTAATGTATGTAGGTAGGTATGTATGTAATGTAATGTAATGTCATGTCATGTAGTTTAATGTAGTGTAACGTAATGCAATTGTAATTGCAATGTAATGTAATGTAATGCAATGCAATGTAATGTATGTATATATATATATACATGCATGTTCTCATCGACATGCATCAATCTGATAGGACCTCTGATTCTGGCCGGTTTTTGGTGAGGAGCAAGCCTTCTGGACCTTGGTTTGCGCCTTTGATGCCCTCGGCGTGGAGGGCTACTACACGGATCGCATGCTGCTGTTGCGGGCCGATATGCAAGTGCTACAGGCCTTCATGAAGGTGAAGTGCCCCAAAGTGGCCAAGGTTCGGGGGGGTGCTTGGGGAGGGGGTTGGGGGTTGGTGGGAGGTCCATGTTTGTCCAAAAATAGGGTACCCTCCCATGGGATTGTAAGCATTTTTCTCACCGAAGAGGTCATTTGGATTGATTTGGGGGCGGCATACCCCATTTTCAGACAAAGCCAAGTATATGAAATTCACGGTCGACCCAAGTCTTGATGGAGAGAAATCACACCTCTTGGACCTGTAAGGCACACACACACAGATATATATATATATACACAGCGGGTGCCAGAATTATAGAACGGAGCCAGGAGTACAAAAGTACGGTAAAATACCGTACCTTTGTACTCCTCCGGGTTCCGATTCCGTGCGGAGTCGGGAAATTTAATTATAGAACGGGGCCTGGGAAACATTAATTATATAGAACGAAAATGGGAAATGTGAGAAAAATGGGGGAAAACAGAATTATAGAACAGCAGCGCTCCGACAGGAATTATAGAACGAAAATGGGAAATGTGAGAAAAATGGGGGAAAACAGAATTATAGAACAGCAGCGCTCCGACAAGAATTATAGAACGGGGCCCGGGAAACATTAATTATAGAACGGGGCCCGGGAAACATTAATTATAGAACGAAAATGGGAAATGTGAGAAAAATGGGGGAAAACATAATTATAGAACAGCAGCGCTCCGACAAAAATTATAGAACGACGAAAAAAATTAGGAGTAAATTCAGATACGTTTTTTTTTTCTCACACCTTCCGAGGAAAACAGAATTATAGAACAACAGGGTACGGTAAATAACCGTACCTTCGTACTCCTCAACTTCCGTTCTATAATTCCGGCACTGACAGTATATATATATATTATAATATATATATATATACAAGCGCATCATTTATCATACCTCATACGCCACATAGCCTATATCCATCCCTCTGTCTTGTTCTCTCTTTCCCTCTCTGACTGATGCTTGCACATCCACTTTTTACTCATTTTCGATTTTAAAGCCGTGCTTTTCAGCTGGTGCTCATTGACAGATCCTTTTGAAGGTCAACGTTGCCCAAACTTGTCAGCTCTTCTCGCCCAGCTGGTCGCTCTGAAATGCCAGGAGCTGCTGCGGTTGAATGTGGATCTGATGTCCATTTGCTCGGAGTGGTTCATCACCTGGTTTGCCAAGAGTCTGCCGGTCTCCACGGTGCTGCGGGTCTGGGATACGCTCTTCTTCGAGGGCTTCAAGGCGCAGAAGGGGGAGAGTCTGCGGCGCGGCTCTGGTGGTGAATTTCTTGTTGATTTGTGGCCTCGACCGGGTGGAAGTCATATTTGCTGGTAAAGTCCCTATCTTTTGGCAGGTTGTACCACCCATTTTTCCTGGTTCATCTGGTTCGAGCCCTTCTTTTTGGGTTTACAATATTTTACAATAGCCAAAAGAACGCTCGAACCAGCAGTTTTAAGACTTAGATATCTTAACTTAAACCGACATCAATTTTTAACCCTCCCAAATTCTGGCTGGTGAAAACCCATCACTTTTTAAAACTCTGCAACCCGCGAAGCGAAGCTGCCAGATCTTCTTCCGCGTCTCCATGGGTATCTTCAAACAGATCGAGCAGCAGGTCATGGCGTGTCAAAGCTTCGATGCGGTCATGGAACGCGCCAAGGCCTGGCCGCGCTGTATGGTGCAACACAACGAGCTGCTGAAAGCCAGCTTTCAAGGTGGGGCTGGACGAGGGCAGCATTTTTGGGAGCCGGGCACCAACCAGTCGGAAATTTATAGAATCCTGCTTGGGCTTCACCGAGATGACTGCGATCTATCCTCATTTCTCGCCGATAGATCCTCACTGCCAATAGATAATCCCCATTTCGTGCTAATAATTGTCATTTATAGCCATTTATTGCTAATAAATGCTGGAAGCTGGGTTGCTCTCCTACATCTCCCCTGCCGAAGGCTGTGGATATGCAGCAGGGCCCTTTATCCTTATTTAATTGATTCAATGTTGAATAGATTCTTGCTTCAACCACGTCGGGGATGATTACATCTGGAATTCCATGAAATTCCCCACTTTCTTACGAATCAATCCCCATTTCTTGCTACTCAATCCCCAATGAATCCGATTCAATGAATCCCCATGTCTAGGAACTCCACATTGATTTCTCATCATTTCTCATCATTTCCCATGGGATTCTTCAACCAGATGACGCCCCGGCCATCGCCGGCCGGCGTCGCGCCAGGTCTGCCCTACCTGAAACGCCAGGCGCTGCTCAAGGCGCGAGATGAGGCCATGCTACGCATCGAGCGCGAAGACGAGGAGCGTCAGAAGATGGCGGAAGCGCGCCTGGCGGCGGCCAAGAGTCGGAAGTAGCTGGCACCCTCGCAGCCATTTTTTTGACCAGCAATGATATTTGGGGAATCATTCAACGACCCAACTTTCGGGTGAATTGTTTTGATTTAGACTTTTGGATCATTGAACATGCCGAATAAATCCGAATAATATCTAATTGCTAGGAAAAAATCACGATGCTTGGGCGTTACACGCGTCCACACATGAAGGACTATGTATATAAACATGGGTTGAGCAAGATAACATAGCAAAGTATCACCAGTGCCGCAAGTGCACCTTTTAGAACGATACAAAAGATGGGAAGCATCGTCAAATTCAATGTGTATATATACATGGAAAAATCTTTGTATGTATTTTACATTTGGCCAGACATGTGCTATATATAGGATTATATAGGTATACATATAGACATACGAACCTTGGTGCTCCCTCTCTCTTTCTCTGTTGATCTGCTTAGATTATGCTTTGGTGATTTTTTGGCGACCTGAGTTGCGACCAATCCCTGTAAATGATGGTTTATATTAGGGAAACATTCATATTTCTAGCGATTCAGCTTATGATTGAACCAGGGGATTATTGTATATATTCATGGCTTCATGATCCTCCTTCCCCGAAGCGATGGGGTGCTGGTGAACTAACTCGCGGAAATTTGGCTGGAGAGAGCAAACTGTGCCCCAAAGGAGCAAAGGGTTGGTAAATGTCCCATTTTTTGGATTTTACAACACGAATCATCTCCAACTGCTTGTTGGGAATATCATACGTGTGCGGTTGGGCGATGTTCAAATGGGACATTTCACTACCCCTGTAATGAGCGTTTGGGCAGAGGGCCCAAGGAAGCAAGACGTACAGAAGTTCAGAGTTTCTGGAAGCTAAGAGCTTCACCTACCTTGACCATCAGTATCCTTTTCAGGCAGGGCAATTCAATTCAGAATGAGCATTTTATTTTTGTTGTTCCATAATCCTTTTCAACAGTTCAAATCGTTCTTCTGTCTGTCTCCTTGATTGAACGCTGGACTTAAGGAATAAGCTAGCCAAATTAGCTAAGCAGTTGGATACACTTAGACCGGAATATATATATATATGTATCTATTGTATGTACACATGCACACATATACACATGTAAACATGCGCACAGAAATGAGTTTTCTCCTTGCTTTGAAGGTCAAGGTGCGAGCAGTCCTGAAACTCAGCAACCCCTGCGGTGCCTGTTGGCCCGGCAGCTGATTTGTACAGCTCCCAGCGATGCCTTGCCAACGAGGGGCGACAAACAGATCCCCCCCGTCGCCAGAAGCAGACACATCCCAGCATCGTGTGAGGGTTCAATTTCACGTGGTAAAAACAGCTAAAAAGCAACTGGTATAACCAGTTCAAAACCGTGTCATCTCATTTTACCACTTGGAGTTGTCTTTTGATTTGTTTTGTTTATAACAACCATTGCCAACCTTTCTCTTATTTTATGGAGGTTTTGGGTTTGCTAGATTATTTGGTTGACTCTCTGTGCGTGTCCAGGTATGCTGGGTATTGAAAAATGGATGTAGCACTGCAGATGCATAGCTGTATATATATATATAGTAACTAGATGTAATTAGTAAAGAGGAGACAGGCCACCAAGTGGTAGCCATGATCCGCAAGCTACGAAGGATTCCTTCCACTGGGACAGATTCATGATATTTTGGATATCACCTCGCCAGCGGGATGTGTGCTAATGCCAAGTCGTACGCCACTTCGGCCAACACCTTATTGGGGCGGATGGCTGTCAGGCGCTGGAAATCCATGGGCCAAGGTGAAACCTTCCGGCACCCTGCGGTCCGATGATGACAGCCTCCCCCCTGGTTGGAGCCAATGGAAAAAAAGGCGGAGACGGATTCGTACATGGTTTGGAGGGCATGGTTGATGCGTTTGCCCGTGAAGGACACTACTTTAGTGTGACCCCAAATCTGTACCTCAGCAGAGGATGGTGATCCGGAGCCACCTTTTGAGAGATGCCAAGCCATAAATCCATGGGTTCCCACCCCAAAATCATATTTTTTCAGCTTGGCCAATCCCAGTGTTCTGGCGCTTCGGAGCTATGGGTATCCGTATTCCCTATACCAAATGGGGAGCTAAGGAGGTACCGCCGGAGCATAACAACATGACCCAAGTACTGCGGTTCACGGCGGGTTCCAAGGTCAGTCAGAGAGCTCACCACATCTGTGCCGCGCTTAGTGGGTGGCTACTTCTCCCGTGCCGCACGGGCGGAGGTACTTTTTTTGGATTTTGGAGGATCATCCCAACCGAGGTCCATGGAGGTCCCTTCTCCTGGAAAATCTGCCAATGATGATGAATGATGATATTGCCCCCCGGTTATTTAACAGACAGTTTGCCATGGAAAGATCCACCATGCTATTAGTAGGTAAACTTGGTAAACGATCTATTTCTATGGGCCATTTTCCATGGCTATGTTAAATAACCAGATGGTAATGGTTTTCCTCCATGTTTCCCGCTGATGGAATTCTCAGTCAGGTCAGATTGCAAGATGGTATAGCAAGAAACACGGATGGGATATGATATTAAATGAAATCATATACGGTATACCGGTGTAATCACTATACTGTCAATACATGTAACAATACTGAACGCAATGCGTTCGCAACACCATGCAACACCCATTTTTTCCAGTGAAACCTGGATGTTGATCCATTCCCATCCTTCGTTCCTAAGAACGCCTTCTGTACGAGCAACGGTTACCACGGTCACCAAGACAATGGAGGCAGGGCCCCAGTGGTAGATTTCCCAAATCCTGGTGCCGTCTTTTTTTCCCCGGATTTCGCCACCACAAACGTCGGGATGTCACGAGCGAAAAAAGGGGGATTAGGTGTCTAGATATGTGAACATCGTGGATCGAACTCCAACAAATGGGCAGTTTCATCGTCCGAAATGGGGATTTACCGGGTATGCGAACCGGGCATGACCTTAGCTGCAATCAAGCTGAACGATTTTGCCAGGGAGTTGCAGTCCACTAAGGGAGATACATCATCCCAAATGGTAATACGGAGGCATCAGGAGAGCCCACTCTGAGAAAATGGCAGAAATGGACGTGTCGGGATGCCATAGGACTGGGAAGATGAAGCCAGACGGGCCAGGGAGCTCAGACCCGACCTTGGAGCTGGTTGGTGGTTGGGGATATCATGTGATGATGGCTGGTAGTTTTATTTGGGTACAACAATAGTAAACCATCCCCCAAATCACAATTTTTATAGGTGGTATGAACCATTCCCAAATGGGTGGTTTATGGCATTGTTTTACCCACATTAACACATTTCTTATTTCCTACCTGGGATGATGATCATAATGATCCTCAACTGACTCCTATGTGTCAAGGTGGTTGAAACATCAGAGTATAGGCAATAGTCAAATAGTCGGGGAAGCGTCGCTGTCATGGCCTAACGCAGGTTTGGACTTTAATCAGCCAGAATCGAGAACATTTATTGGCGCGTTGCACCAAACGTAAAATGAGATACCCTCTGGTAATTTAACATAGCTATTGAACATTGCCATTTTTAATGGGAAAACTCACTATAAATGGCCATTTTCAATAGCTATGTTAAATTACCAGACGGTAGAACATGGCTAGGACCTTCCCTTTTGGTCCTGTCTTTGGTATGTCAGGACCGGTATCTTTCCAGTGACTGGATGACTGGTCAAATGACAACAAGTGGTAATCCTTCACACCCATCAGTACTACCACTACAATATTCCTCCTGTCAAACCAGGGGTCGTATTTCGATTTATAGGAATTAAGGCTGTTCTTGACACCGTACGAAGGGAGGCCATACTGTTTAGCCAGCTTGTACCAAGTCAAAAAAGCTGTTTTTTGCGAAGCCACCGGGCCGGTGTCAGTCACTCCGGTTTGTCGCTGCGACTTGTGTTGACTTAGGAACCAAATTCAAGTTGGTGGTATCAGTGGTATCCCCAAATCTACTGTGACATTTGTTGGTTCCACACTTGGTATATGTATATATGTATACATATATATAACTATATATATATACACACGTAACTACACACACATACATAGTGTAAATAATAATGATAATAGTAATAGTAATAATAATGAGAATAATAACAATGATAATAATGATGATAATAAATAATAATAAATCATAATGATAATAATAATAAATAATAACAATGATGATGACAATGATAATAATAATAATCATAATCATAATAATATCATGGACTGTATACACACACATATATATACATACTATAATGACACCTGTAATACATATAGATCGATAGATGGATTCGATGGATGGATGGATAGATAGATAGACAGATAGATCGATAGATCGATCGATAGATTGACATACATTAAATACACACACATAGACATAGACATAGACATGGACATAGACATAGACATAGACATGGACATAGACACAGACACAGACACACACACATCAATAAGTTAAAAACATCTAATAAGTCTAGAGAAGTGGCTAAGATATGTATATATCATATATATATATAGTTACATATATATATATATATATGAGCTATGTATATATGTATGTATATAATATTAATACAGTATTCTATAAGTACAGGTAATCAACGCTGCGCCAGGCCCCCAAGGTGGGGCAACTTTGGCAGGTGCCTGCGGAGACCAAGGACAGCGAGGTGCCGCCGTCGAAAATGGCACGTGAACCGCTGGAAATCCACCGAAAATCCGTGAAGATCCCATGGAAACCATGGAAAATCACAGGGAATCTATGGAAAATCATATGCAAATTCGGGAAAGCAGGGAAAATCATAGGGGAGTTCCAGATTTTCGAGTTCAAGACTATGGAAAATCATGTGGAAACTATAGAACATCTGAAAACATATTCAAGAACGATGGAAAGTCCAGAGTATATCAGTTGGGTTGTTAAGTCTCGTTTCAAGGGCCATCAGGTTTTTGGACACCTGGCGCTACAGTTTGGCCCTTCCTTGTCACCTTTTGCCATGCGTGGCGGCGTACCTGATTCGAAGAGTCTGAAGAGTCATAAAAAACGAATCATACTGGTCTGCGTCATGCCATTTCGGCATTAAAGAGTGTGAAGGGAGTGGAAAAAGGATATTGTTTGGTATCGAAGCACCATGAAGCACCTACCTTCTGGGGGGTTTACGATTCACGATGTGTCAAAGTCTTGTTGCGCCAAAAAAAATCCCTCACCGGAAATAAACAACAGTTTGTTGGTTGCTGGGGCGCACATTGCGAGCCACACCGTGGCCATACTCATGCATTTAATGGAGATTGTGGCTGCAACTCAGAGTAACTCGGTACATGAACAAATGTTGCACACATCTTCACATGCTCCAACGATCTCTAAGTCCAAGTCGGGAATCACAAACTTGTCTTGTCTTGATATAGGATATATAGGGGCCTTGCAACCAGTGGATCCTCTTCAACACCAGTTGCCAGGATTGGGAAACAGACGAGCCAAGGGTGGGGATGGAGGTGCGGCCACGGCCATATTTCTGTTGGCGAAGATTCAATTAAAACATGGGAGAACACTTTGACCTTGGGAGAGCCATCAGGTACCTGAAATATCCTGAAATCTCGGTGAATTTTCCAATTTATATAATATATGAACATTAATTATTGAACATTTATCTTTGGTGGAATTCGCTCCCATTTTTCGAGCTGCAGGTGCCTCAGCCTCGCAGATCTTCGCACTTGATCATTGGCGTGGCAGGTGGATGTTGAACTACTGTGCTGCTGGACATGGCCGGACATGGTTGGACTTTCTGGTGACATTTTCTGGGTTTCTTGAAGTTTCAGGGTGACAACCTGGAGCCCTATCTTGGAAAATGGATAGATGCAATCGCATTCTTGTCCGTGTCGGACCTGTAGGAGGTTGTGGCTTGTGACAGCTTGAGCCGTCCCTGAAAAATTCAACACCTGAAGAGTTCAATTCCAAACCAATTTGTTGATTTTGTTGGGGCTTCCAAGCATTTATAGTGAAATTTCCCATTAAGACATATTAAAACCCCCATTGTGGATGATTTGGGGAAGTGCCGCCCACGTTTTGCACAGGCATTTGACACAGCGACTACGGCCCGACGACGAGGCTGCGAGGGTACCGCAGCTACGCTGCGGCGTTGGCGCAACAGTGCTGGCGATTGGAGGCTGATGGTGGTTCGACCTGCAAGCAATGGGCAAACCTTCTGGAATGGTCGGTCAATGTTATATGTTATATTTGATATCTTATACAGTAGGTATTGTTATATTATATAAGGTCGTTTTATTATAGGCATGCAGTGCACTAGCCAGCTAAACATACACTTTTTGACAGCGTACTTATTCAAGATTAGCCGTGCATTGCGGGAATTTGAATAAAGGGGCCACACAGTTGCAAATCACGCTGGGAAATCATATTTTCTATGCAGATTCTGCATTGCGTAATAAGATTAATAAGAAACCGAATGGAGGTTTTCTATTGCCAGTATATAAGACCGCTGGAGTGTACCGTTTCAGTCTCCACACCCTGTTATTCTTTATTCTTTTTGGGCCCGATGTGCCTTCTTGCCACCGCTTTGTCAGTGCTCTGGACTACCATAATCTACCATACGTACCAAACCTGCAGCCTGAGGGTCTGGAGGCGGTAGAGAAACCAAGAGTTTTGGCAGAGACTGGTGGCGCTGCCCTGCAGACGGCTAAGCCGCTGGAAGGTGGAATTATAGGAGGGAGCACAGGCACCAACTAAAAGGGCGTTGCAATGCGTTGCAGGGCAAAATTTTGTTTCGGTATTGGATCCATTCATGGGGCCGTATAAGAAGGACATGTAATATTAATTAGAAGGGAAGGGAATGGAAGGGATATATCTAAGAATGTCCTGCAGATCGGGGCCGTGGGAATCCTTGACCCTTTCTTGCCATCGCAAGGCCTTTGAGCAGTGGCGAATCCCACAAATTCTGTCTTTCAGATATTATTGATAGAATGATCCTGCCACCAACACGCATGGCTCAAAAATGGAACACCAATGGACAACATGGATCATTCTTGCTTGTATTTTTAAAAAACCATAAATCATTTTAAGCCACATATTTTTTGTTGAAAATACCTCCCTGATGTTCCCTGCCTGTTGGTTACAAAGGAGCTTGAATGGATGGGACATCCCCAATGGAGGTTTATAGTTGGGAAAATCATCTGAGGGATTTGTCAGCAAGCCATGTTGGATTACCAGAGGGTATGCCAGTATGCATCATTCTGCCCAAAGAACTTGGTGTCCAAATTCGATGCCTCTCCGAGTTGACCGTCGTTTCGTCGTTTCGTCGTTCCATTTCAACGGACCGATGTAACGGTGCGGCTGCAGGGAGTACAAAACTCACTGTAGCCATCCAGGGATTCGCTTGGTGAAACCCTTGGGGTTTTGGTGAAATGCCTATGGCAGATATTGGCTTCTCACCAATAATATTACTAATATAGAGATACATAGAAAATCTATGAACATCTATGAACATGTTTAAGGCTTCGATAGGATTCTTTTTGGGCATTTTTGTTGCTTGTCACGACCGTAGGACAGGCTGCCAGATGGTCACCGCTAAGCGTCACGATGTTGTAACCGTGTCGGGGTGGCACAGCTCCGAGCAAAGGATTTGCGAGACCGTGCCATCTTGCCTCGTGTCGTGACTGGGACACCGTTGGACTTCTGCCACGTTGCGTATCGCCGCGTGCCATCCGCCTCAAAGTTTCTGGAAAACAATGGCCATGGATACCCAAGGCTGACAAGATTCGGGATGAACACTCAAATATGATCCCTCATGCAGGGAACTGCTAGATTTCAGCCTTTGTTTCTTTTTGTTGCAACTTGAGATGCGATTAAACACAAAATGACAACACTGGCATTTTGTAGGACCCGGCTGGGATTTCAACCTTTGGACGTTTGAGTGCCCTGCGCTTTGCGGCTCAGCTCAGTTCAAGCATCAAATACCGCCGCCAAAATGATGGGCCACCTCCAAAGCAACCCCAAAATGTCAGCCTACCAGGTTCCAAGACTAGCGTACGCATTGGTGAATGGTAGGGCAATGTATGGTAGTGTCTTGAGCTTCAGTGATGGAAGAATTTGCATCCAGTCATGAATGAACCTTCTTTTTGCAGGGCGTGCGGGACTATAAGTAAATACAACTACTAGCAATAGCACCAGAAGAGCAGCATTTCTTGACGATCTACTCTGCTCAACAGAAATCCCTTTTATCCTTTTTGATGGATCACTGATGTAGTTAAGTCTCAGGAATTTCCCAATATCAGATATATCAGCACGGTCGAATCTACGGTATATAGTATAATAGTATATAGTTTGCTTGGTTTGAACCTGGTTGCAGCTGACATGTGGATCTCCATGATTTTCATGGATCTCTCAGCCACCAATGCAGATTTCTCGCCATGGGCGCAGCACTGTCGCCCCTGGCACTAGCTGCGGTGCTGGTACCCTGTGCACAAGGTGGGGCGTGATTCGTGGGATGGCCCTCCCCATTGTAAACAAACCCACAATGTCATGGCTACCATGAAGCTAACTTCATAGACTCATAGTCGTCATAACGTCGTCATAGCCTAAGAAATTGCGCCTGAAACATCTTGAAAGCAAACGGAAATGCAACGTGGCCGTCTACAGCATGTAGCCTGATTGTCAGTCCAAGCAGTAGGAGAGTAGGATATCACCCCAGCTGTTTACTAGAGGTCGGCCAGGGGTTGTGACAGTCCATGCGCTGCAGGCACTGCGGGGCCACTGCCCTTGACGTTTGGGGCTCAGCACAGCTTGAGGGATGCGGTTTGCACCTCACGTTGGTTTGCTTGGATGCCGGTCCTAGGAAGCTTCATATGGGATGGTTGATATATGTCCCCTAAACTGGAGAAACATCCTTCTACATCCTTCTACTTGCTGAATCTCCAATGCAGTTTTAAGCGTTACTCACATTCGCTCACCGCCTCGGATGATCACTGTGTGAAAGGCTACTGCCGTGCGCGCAAAACTTGCCGCGTTGCGCGGAAGAGAGCGGAGTGGAAGAGTTTCAGGCAACTTTGGGCGCCCCGGGGGTTTAAACGGTCAGGGCCGGTCAGGGGGTCGGCAATGACACTTTGGAGCATTTGGCAAGGGGCAATCTTTATGGCCGCCATGCTAGGCCTTACACTCCTGGCTCCTCTCCAGCCCGGAACGGGCAGATGACATTGGGGCCTTTGAGGCGTATCCGAGAAGTTTATTGTCGCGCACTGACCCTAAGGTCAAATAGTGTAAGAATTGGTACCCCCTATGCATAAATTAATGGTTGAGCAAAATACTGAGTTTTTTTTGGAAACGTGATGGTGTTGATGCTGAAGGTTTTTGGAATATGTTGGGGCCATCCTGACTATTGCTGGAATTTCAGGTAAGCGAACGAGGGCCGGGACCTCGGAAATGAAGCAGGTGCCACTTGTAGGTGGTCGAGTGATGTGTCATTGAAACTCTCAGGTTGTGAGTTGGGATTGGCTCAACAGCCCACATGAGCCCACAATTTGGATCAAATGAGATGGCTTAGTGGCCATTTAGCGGTACAAATGGCCAAGTTTGATCAACTTTGGGGGTGAAAATTGCTGATTCGCATTGATTCACCCTCAGATTGTCGGAAATAGGGGTACCGCTGAAACGGTGGCGGCATCATGCCACATTGCCTTGCTTTGGGTTGGTCAATTGGCCAGAGCTGTTCATTTTTATTCATTTTTTAAATATATGTTTTCCAAGTCCTAAGCAATACTTTTATTGAACAATTGATAGGGTGGTTACCCTCTGGTAATTTAACATAACTATGGAAAATCACCATTTATAGTGGATTTTCCCATGAAAAATGGTGATTTTCCATAGCTATGTTAAATTACCAGAGGGTATATCATGTGACTTCTTTTCGTCACGCACAATGACACCTTTGGCCGAGGAGCAATCTGGAGCTACAGAGCTTTCAGCTCGTCAAGGAGCTAGGCCTGCAGATGTGGGCATGGTACGAATCAGCGCGGATGAAAGCGACCAGGGATTCATAGCAGATGCTGATTAAAAGTGGTTGATAGGTCCATGATGATCCATGATGTCTGCTTGGGAGGCATAACCTTGGGACTCCTTCGTGGCAGTTCCTGGATAAAATTGGCTCCAGTTGGATCATCATGCGAGGCCTAACTTTGCTGGCCTCCTCCTTGGACTATGTGGCGGTTTGCCAGCACTCGGCCCCTTGGCAGACTGGAAGGGGGTGGGTAAATTGCTCCCCATTCGAAGTGTTTCGCGTGCAGGTTCCTTGAGACCTACTTGATTCCTTGATCTACTTAGCGGTTTCATGTTTTTTTTTCCAAAGCTCTATTCCCTAAGATCCCCCAACACACCTTAAATGCCAGTGACTCATATTTTCCAGGCCAGTGCAGTGGCTCAACCACCAAACCAACAATTCAGTGGTTATCCCCCATCGGTTGGTTATAACTTATAACTCCAAGATAACTCTTGAGAGGTAGATCATTTGAATCACGTACCCTCGGGTAATTCAACATGGCGGTGGAAAGTATTCCATTTGTATGTAGATGATTTCCCTTTCAAACATGGGGGTTTGCTGAAATGGAGGTACGGGGTACCCCCAAATCATCCAAAATTAGACCATCTAATTTAGAGAGCGGCTGGTTGCCAGCGCTAGAAAGTGGACTTTCCTCATGTTTTCTGGTAATTTGGCAGTTTTTTTCAAGCTATGGTTTTGGGGATCCTCAATTTTATGCAACCCCCAAGTGGCATCAAATGGCGAAAAAAATCATGGCTTCCGTATGTCCATTTGGCTTCCCAGGATCCACGCTGCGCCATGCTGGCGCAGCACTTCGAGGGGGTGAAGGTTGCGCCCAAACAAAAAGCGCCCAAGAAGCAGACAGCAGCAGATCAATGAAATATACATAGTTGAAAATGGTCATTTATAGTGAGTTTTCTCATTAAAAATGGTGATTTTCCATGGCTATGTTAAATAACCAGAGGGTACATAGAGTTTCAAACGTACACAGGCAGCAAACACATACACATTCTATATTTCTCATCATGTCATGAAACCATAACCGTTTCACGTGGATGGTGATGATGGTGTTTGCAGGAGCTTTCCATGTGTACCGTGTCCGTCACGATGTCAATTTACGGCAGGCCTTGCGAATGCAGTTGGATGCACGCCTGAGAGAGATGGCAAAGGAAGCTGCATCAGCAGGGAACACATGGGGTCCATGGAGATGTGAAACCGGGAGCCTAACCTGGTACAGTAGAAACCGGTCCGGATAGCCTCAATTCTTTTTGCTGAAGGCTTGCCAACATCCAAAGAGGTACTATAAATTTAGGATTGGTCCTTTCTTGGCTCCAGGACTATCTCCCAGATCCTGGCGTGCGATCGCCAGTGCTTCGCGTCCGGGCCCGATCCTTCTGGGTTGATCAGGAGGATGTGAACCTCGACTGAGGTGGGCCATAGCTTGAGATCCGCCCGGGGCTCAGGGCCTGTGCACTTGGCATGACTGGAAGGTTGTCACAACCAGCAGTTGAATTGCAGTCGTTATTTTCACTCCAGGGAGATTCCCCCCTTTTTTCAGCGGATCATTTTCAGTCTGCTTTATCTAAGAAGATCGTGCCAATTCACTCACTAAACCCATTTTTCTAGAGATGGTCTGAGATGGGTTGACTAAAGTCTAAAGGTGAAAGGGGGGTGTTTCATTGACATCCTCCCTCTGGAAATCTCTGGAAGGACTTGGACGGTTTCCTCCGACAGTTGTTGTGCCCTCAGGGCTGCACTATGGGGCTCAAGCTGAGAAGAAAAATCCTGGTCATAGTTAAAGTTCTAAACAGCCAACTGAATATATAAGACCTTGCCAACCATTTTCCTGGTTCAACCAGATTCCCAGAGCTCGCTCTGAAGTCAGTGGGACATATGTGACATATTCATCTTGGTTTAGGCGAAATGAAGTTGGTGCCCTTCCAACATATCCCAGCATATCCGACAGATGTATAACATCAAGACAAACAGTATATCAGTATATCAAAACAATTCAAAACATTTGAAATTAGATTGGAGGGTCGATGCTTATATATATATATATGCTTATATATATAGACATATATGTCTATGTGTTCCTCAGAACTTGACCACCCACCCCTTGCCCCCTCCCATGCCCACAGGCCCACATTGCAAGCCGGGCTGCCGGCCGCCGAAGCTTCTGCGCGCCTGGCGCAGAGTGTAGGCAGCGGTTTTGCGGGGTTGGGTGAGTGGGTGGTGAAGCCGCAGTAGATTTTTTTCTCCAAGTTTCCTTTTTTGGAGGGACATGGAACTTGACCAAAAAACGAATCTTCATGATTGTATATTAATCTCTGTATAAAAATGTACATCCTCATATGCAGTTCTTGTGAAAAACTGTTGCATCTTGGACTCATAGCATTTTTTGAGTTCGCCCACTTCACCCATGTTCAACCTGTGATGGCAGCCCCTGCCCAGCAGGCCTCAGGGGCCGCATGTTGGCCTGGCATTTGGGTTTCAGCCTCAGATGGAGTTGTCAATTTGTGGACTTTTTGTTTTTGCCCGGAACTGGACTAGCAGGAAGTCTTGGGTGGTTGAAATGCATTCTGGACCTGATCAATTTGTCTCATAGAACTTGGAAGGTTCCTCCTGCTCCAAAACCCTAAAAGATTTAACCCCCACGTCCAGAAAGAGGATCTATATTTTAGACTTGAGACATCTTCTGACTTGACTTTTTTGAATTCAGGTGGTTGGTTGTTGGTTGTGTTGTTGCATGCGTGGTTCAATGAATCCAAGGCATGCATTTCTGGGTGTGGCCCTCAGAGCATGCAGCCACATTCGCATCAGATGCGTGGCAGATGGCTAGTCGTATCTCCCTGAAGGTAGTGACTTTGTGTGCAGGACCATGGGGCATGGGGCAGTGCCATGGCATTCCATGGCATCACTCACAATTACGAGCGGGTTTTGATCCATGGCCATATCTCCTCAGCCTGTTGAACCACTGTAGGTTCGACACCTCGAAGTGCCTGGCCGCGGCGCGCCGGTGCTCATCCTTCATGAGGAGTGAACACCCCAGCATGGTCTATGAATCTATGAATCTATGAGTCTATTTTGTTCGTTTTTAGTGCTGCACCCATGTGACATCAGAACAATTCTATGTTTTTTTTTCTCCGTTTTGGTCCCATGTGTATTGCATATACGAGTTGCCGTGGGCTTTGTGGGTACAAGCAGATGGTTTAGACTGGAGTGTGACGGCCTGAGGTACACGTCTTTCAAGGACATGGTTTCTTCTGTGGTAGGCCAGGGTGGTGTGGGCTGGCTATGCTTAGAGGTAAGAGTAGATTCTTCTTCCAAAGCCTTTGCCAAGGGCGATCGACCTGCAGCTCTGCGTGTCCAAACATAGGGGGACCCCTCAAACTCGCGGGCCTCCGTGATAACTTTGGCAACATTTGGCAACCCTAGTGGGTCATTTTGGTCCTGGACCCCGTCAAATTTGGAACTTAACACATCCAAGTGACCCAGGCATGATGGTGCGTAACGGCCAGCCACAGCTGGTCATGATGGAGGTTGGCGTGCCGGCGCAGGACGCGAAGTGATGACACCTGCACCTTAGTGCCCCCTGACTTTCAAGGGATTGTGCAAAGACGGAATGCAGAAGGTGGCCATAAATCTACTTTATACTACTTTATAGTGCTTGCCTGGCATCAGGTCCAGAAGGTGATTTTCAAAAAGGCAGATCCTCAGATTCTGGTCGCTTGAACCCAGGAGTGGTTGGCGCCATCGCTGGTCAGAAGTGTTGCGGGGCTTCAGTACGCGGGGAAGCTTGGTGCGCACAGGAAGGGGTGCTCCAGCCTTGAATGAACCAACGTTGGTGTCGAAACAGCAGACCATCGCCAGCTCCAACTTGTTCTCGAGGTGGGTATCATGCTTGAGCCAGAGGATGATGCCAGTCTGGACCTCATCACTGGGTATGTGCTGTAACCTTTCGGGGGCTGCCTCAATCAACGTTTCCCGCACAGTCAAGGTGCCCAGGCCCAGATGGCCGCCTACGAACAGTTGAAGGTGCCACACTTCCGAACTTGTGGCTGTTCACCAGAACTCCGGATCAATAATATAAATAGATATTATAGATTATATATATATATGTATATATATATGGTAGTTTCAAGGGGAAGTTAAGGAACAAATTGGTATGTTAACTTGGCGGTCCAATGAATTTGGTCCTAGCTGCCAAGGATTGGAAGAGTTGAACGGATTTTCCACAGCCAGAATGCCCCCGAAGTTGCGCGCTTTGGGATCCAATGTGCGTGCACGGACTTTGGTGGAAGCGGCGGGAAGGCCAACTGGCACATTACAGACTTGTAGCAAGCAGCAAGCACTCATTGACTCATCATTGTTGGATATCCTCATGGCTTGCCATTGATCTTGGACACCCTGCACCAGGATACATAGGATACGGCATGCTGCATGAGATGATGCCATGTTTCCATTAGATTCATTGAGGAAAGCCGTCCTGGTTGAAGTAAACTAAGTGAATCGTGCTGGTTGACCCAGTTAAAGTAGACAAGTACTGCGGTAAACTCTGTGCCATAGTCCATACCCATAAACCACTTGCCAAAACAATACACCGGACCCAATCGGGTCTACGGCCGTGCGTTAAGAGGATGAATATGAATCATATTTTAGGGAGTTAGACATGTTATACAAGTGACTTAGTCCCCAATTCTTGGGTATAAACTCAGTCAATGGATTGGTTCAAGGGAAAATCTACAGGAATCCATAGATTTTCCCATTAAATATATTTAAATATGGGGTTTTCCTGTAAATGGACTCAGGAAACTAAGTCAGCCATCCTGGTGGAAGTAAACCCCAGCAGCCTCTTGGCGTCGACAGGCCGAGGCTCAGGCCCCAGAGATTGCAAACCGCATCGCGTTGCACTACGCCTCCGCGCAGCGTCTTGGCGCATCCGTTTTGGGGGGGGGCACCTTTGTGGTTTTTGAGCCACAAAATGTGGGCAGAATCATGCAGAATCCACATATTTTTTGTGGATGAAGCCAACAGATATAGGGTAGTACTGTGACTGTAACTGACAAATAGGCCCTAGTATACTGCAGGTTCCGGGGGGTTTAGTTAGAGCCAGCAACTGGCTCTCCGCTAGCTTCATTGACTGGTTTGCCCAATTGTTCCCTCATGTTTTTGAACACACCAAGTTTCAGTCACAGTTATTGTGCAGCCATCCACTTAATCCCTTCCGTACTAAATACGTAAATTATTATGCCCCCATCAGACTCCTAGTTTAGTATTGGGCATAATCATTTTGGGAGTGCGAAGAATTTAGGGTATTTGCTATGATTGGAGAATGGATTGATTCGACCTGACCCAGAACCATTCATGACTCATTTGCTCAGGAGGGCGGCCGCAGCTTTTCCTGATAGGTTGGAGGGTCGGGTCAGTGGCATAGGGAGGGAAGATGTCACAATGACCGGCGATAGAACGATGTTGGTCACCTCGAAAATGGGATGCTTGAAGTAGAACAACCCTACCAAAGATGAGGTTCCCAGGCCTCAAGTTCCAAGCACGTGGCGAAGCCATGCGAAGCCCTTTGACTTGATCTGGATGCGCTCCGACCTCTGGCTCAGCCGAGAGGCAGCTCATCGAGACATACAGATACAGCAGAAATCAGTAGATGACGTGGAATGAATAGAGAGAAGTGGTCAGAGCGAGGCAGCTCCGTGAAGAGTTTGTTTTCTTCAAAGCTAGATGCAAGTCGCAAAGTGAGCAGTAACAGCTTCGACAAGTCGTTGTATCAGTCTGGACAGAAACGGCAAGAGCCAGCAAACATCGCCTTCCTGCACTGCCATGTTACGTCTTACTGCACCTCAATTCTTAGGAAGATAGGAAGTCTTAGGGTTCGCACATTTTCTCTCATCCAAAGTCGTCTAAACATTGATCCCAACATTTCCAAACCCATCTTCCAAGCCGGGCAACCAACCCCAACCCCCAACCATTCCTAGCTGCTTCAAGCCGCTTGGGTCCCCGGAACAAGGGGCGCCATGTCGTGCCATGGCCCGGCAAGGGACGTGCTCTGGGAGGCGCTGCCGCTGAGGTCGGTGGCTTCGGAGCCCAGCTTGAAGGTGCCGAACAGCACTTAAGATGCAATGAATGATATACACGCATATATATATATATTATATATATATATATATTATATATATATATTATATATATATATATATTATATATGTATGTTTGCATGTTGTCGGCAAGGTAGGCTTGGAACAAGCGAAGGACTCTTTAGTACTGTTCAACTTTTCGATCTTATCCTTCCTCTCGTTTTCCTGATGTTCATAACATATTTATTTACTTTATTTTATATAGTGATCATATCTTGAGTCATGCATGTTCATGAACGTGCTCTGCCCAGGTCGACCTGTTCCGGCCATTTTGGACTCAAGAAAAGTGATCACTCCAGTCCTTGTGGGAATTTTTGTCCCTTTGCTCTGCCTGTGTGAGGCGTGAGTGTGTTTTTCAAGGGCCTGGGAGTGATCACTATAAGATGCCACAGTCTAATTTTCCTCCGTGTTGGCCTTCGCCGCTCTCTCAACAGAAAGCTATGGCCGCTCGACGTGCTGCTGATGTGGTGCTCCCTTCAGAAAGCGCAAGCGGTGTGGGCTCTTGGACGGCGGTGAATGAAGTGGCTCAGCAAGTGCCTGCCAGCTCCTCAGCTCAGCCCAGCGGTGTTGATCAAACTGCACAGCCTGCTCAGGGTGAGGAGCCAGGCCACACAGTTTGGGTCACAGATTCTGACGAGAACGTTCCTCCGCAGGATTTCAAGGGATTTGACGGTGCTCCACAGCAGGCTTCTCCAAGCATGCCAGTTCCCCAGTGGGGGACGGCGCCAGCCACCCAGGCAGCCAAGAACCTGCTCGACAACCAGATCCCCAAGTCCTCCAAGCTTGCCAAGCAGAAAGCGAGGGCCAAGGAGAAGGGTCATAGGGGGGTGCGCTGGGGCCAGATGCCTGCTCAGAGTGCATTCAGCCCCCAGAACTTCCAGCTCCCGCCCTTCGTTCAACAGCTTGGGTCTGGACAAGATGAGCGATCGGTGCTCATTGTCGACAACAGGGACATGAGGATCACTAGCCCATTCAGGGGTGGCTGTTGGATGAGATCCTCTTGAATGCACAGTCAGGGATCAACATCCTGTCTGATCGACAGCTGCTGAGGTCACCCAGCTCAGGGTATCATATGAACATTTTCTACGTTCGGGCCATGGACGGTTACAAGTTCATTCTGGTTGGATCCATGACCTGTTATGGATCAGTGCCTTATGCTCGCTGGGACGCTGACACCGGTGCGGTCTTGAACCATGCGGCGTTCCAGCCTTTCAGATGGCCGCTCATGAGGGAGGATTCCTCCGTGTGGGTGGACGTCAAGATCAAGATCGAAGGGCAGCTCTTGCTACACCTGGAGATGAGAGGGTATCGCTCAGAGCAGGATATGACCGTGCAGCTCAACTACATCAATGACGGTTTGATCACCTCTTTGCGAGAGGAGCTGTTCATCCCTGCCGTGGTGGTGACGATCTTCCAGGGCTGGCGGGTCATTGCCGTGAGCTTTGAGGTCGGTGGCAGGATCTATGCCTGCAGTGAGAAAGGGGTGGTCGTCGCTCTCGACTTTCCCTTATGCCATTTCGAGGTGAGGATGACGGCTCTGTCATCTGCTGACTCAGTGGGGGTGGATGCCGATCGGCTGGAGTTCCGCTTCAGATCGGCTGGTGATAGTGTGGATGTGACTTGCTCACAGATCACTGTCCCCCCGACTTGGCTCATCCTATCGAGGGTCTCGGGGCCTACTTTGATCCAGAACGCTCGGTGGTGTCGGGACCGCCATGCGCGAGTTGAAGGGCCTGATCAGACCATGCAAATGTCACAGCTTGCAGGCATTCACGCTCACTGGACGGCTGCAACTGAGGCTCTGACAGTTGCTGACACAGGACCTCGTGTGGGTGCGGTCGCAGTGGACACTCACCAGAACAACCTGCACCTGACATGTGAAGCTCCGCTCTTCCAGGCGCAGAAGGTCATCGTGCCGGCTGAAGCGATCGCCCTGCAGTTCCACGACCCGGAGTCTGAGGAGAGAGCTCTGGTGGTGCCACCTGTCATGGATGGGCCGATGGCAATCCCAGCTGCTCAGGCGCCGGGATCATTGAGGGCGTTGGCTGGCCCAGCAGCGGCTCCGTTGCAAGCTGCACCACCAGTGGAGGCCGTGATCTCAGTGACGGAGGCGGGCCACGCTCCCAAGGCAGCAGCTCCAGGTGACAAGACGGTGCATGTTCATCGTCGGTCGCTAGAGGCTCGGCAGAGTGAGTCGTTGGCTGATGCTGCCGTGACGCCCCAAGCCTTCCTTGATCAGGTTGGCTTGGTCAAGCATGTGGTGTCAGGCGGTGGTTCAACATCATCAGCCCCTCGTTCATACGGACCACCTCCGGTGATCGAGGAAGTTACGGACTGCTGATTGTGGATCCAGTATTCTAAGTTTGTTCAACTCTTCCAGCAGTGAAGGGCGAAATTGCTCAGCGAGCCCTGACTTTGCCTGGATTTCCAGGTCGCCATGATAGCTAAAAAGGGGTCGGGGAGTTTGCTTTGCGGGTCGTGATTTTGTTGTTGCCGCTCGTTGCCCGCAAGCTCCCCTGGTCGGTTAGGTCTGTTAGGTCTGTAACCCCGACAGCCCTAGTGACGTTTCGTGTTTTGACCCTGCTCAGGCGACGCCCTCAGTCATTCTTTTGGGGGACCCCAGATCGAGAGTGAGCATCGAGAGACAGACTCTGCTTGTGCCGAGTTAGTCATCGGGCTCTGCTTGATCTTTGTTTTAAATTGTTTTTAATTTATAGTTCACGTAACTGAGTTCAGTGCAGTGCATGCAGTGCTGTCGAGTTCAGTGTACATGCACTCGTCCACGGAGTTCTGAATGCCTTTTATTTTGCGTTCATGAATTTCGGATGTGACGGTCCGGTGTTTGAGTTGAGTTCCAATTTGAACTGCATCCAGCTCAAGTTACGTGCATGATCATGCTTAAATGTGGCTTCTGTTGAGGTTCACGCCTCAGATGCTTGGGAACTCTCAGAAGCGAGTTGAGCTGTGAGAGACAGATCTCGTAGTGACAACGGCGATCAGTCATCCGGTTCTTCATAGTTTCGAGGTTCCCACTTGTGTTAATGGTCATATTCATTGCTTACCATGTTCATATTATATATATACTTCGAGGCTCCTTAGGTGAAGGTGTTCTGAACTTTTCTTCAGTCACTTCACTAGGGTTGCCCGCTGTGGTCGTTGCGCGATCGCAATTTTCTGAGGTTCACTCCTCAGTTGTTTTTCGGAGATCTCAGAAGCGTGTTGAGCCGTGAGGGACAGATCTCGTTTCTTGCGACGGGGATCAGTCATCCGGTTCTTCGTTGTTTCGAGGTTTCCGCTGCCATTAATGGTCATATGTTTATTTACCATGTTCATGTTCTACATACCTGAGGCTCCTTAGGTTGAAGGTGTTCTGAACTTGTTTTCAGCCACTTCACCGCGGCCTGCTCGAACCCGTGCTGGGGTGCACTCCCCAGCTCGGGTATAGGGAGTTCTCCAGGGGGGGTATTGAGCTGCGAGCGACAGAAACCCTTGTTGGAAGTGGGCGGTCAGTCATCCAGTTCTCTCTCCCTCTTGAGGTATGTTCTTAACGGTTATATTCAATTGACTTGCTCGTCTATATTTCCATATATATCTTGAGGCTTCTTAGGTGAAGTTCTTTCTTGTTTCATGGTTTGCATGTTCGCTGGTGAATTTGTTCAGCAACAGTGCAAACATGGCTCAGGGGCCCGACAGATGGGCAAGCAAGATCTTGTCCCTCCCTGTGTTCAGTGACGCATTTGCTCAGGCTATCCATGGCTCTCCTTTCTCAAATTTGGCGTTCGTCGCCGCGATGGAGGTGGGATCAGCTCATGAGTTTGTGTCAAAGGTTGGCGACTGGGCTCCGCAATTAGATGAGTCGATCAGAGACGACTTGCTGAGCTCTACATTTATGTTGGAGCAGTTCTGGTCGTTAGCGTGCTCAGTTGAAAAGGCCTTTTTCGAGTCCACGGCCAACCAGTTAGGGTTTGGCTTGTGTGAAGCTCCGGCACCCCCTATCAGCGCTGTGTCAGCCAAAGCTCGTAGGGCGGGGGCCATCAAGGCTCTTTCGGGAAAGACAGTGAATCCCCCGAGAAAGTTCTTGAAAACTAGTCCTGAGCCGCAGTCTGCAACGCCTTTGCTCGACCAGGATAACGCCGCTCGGTGGAAGTGGGCCGCGCGACTGGAAGAGATCGAGCGAAAGGCGGGGACCTTCTCGAAGTTGTTGCTCGACACATCTAACGAGAAAGGTCTCTCGCATGCAGAGGTGGCTCGTCTGCGACAGCTCGTTTTGTCATCGGGAGCGCCACGGACAATGGCCACCCACGTGACAAACTGGGAGCGGTTCGCGGAATGGGCAGAGGCCAAGGGGATCGAAGTTTTCCTTTGTCTAATACTAAATTAATTCAATACGCTCTTCATTTAGATCATCTTGAATGTGGCCCCTCAGTAATCCCCACTTTTAGGACCTCTGTTAAATGGGTTACCGCTAAGCTGGCTATTGAGTGCCCTGACATTGATCATCAAGGGCTGCTGGCAATTCAGGCCGAGGTGATCAGCAAGCGCGCTCGGACCCTGAAAGAAGCGGTGCCCATTCCAACGGCAGTGGTTCGTGCAATGGAGCTCTTGGTGGTGGATGAAGGGGAGCCTGAGGCTACGCGCCTGTTCACATGGTGGTGGCTGTGCATGGTCTTCGCTTCTTTGAGGTTCGACGACGCTATGCATGTGCGCCCAGATGAGCTCATCCTGAATGAAGAGAGCATGTTCGGAGTTGCCTGGCAGACCAAAGTGGAGCGCAAGAGGCGTGGCACCAAGTTCGTCGTGCCGCATGTTGGGTTCTCGGGGTCTGACTGGCTTCGTGCTGGCTGGCAGCTCCTTCAGAATGAGCATTTTGCGCTCGCTAGAGACTATTGGATGCGGGACCTCAATTCTCGTGAGGCGTTTCGCAACGGCCCAGCTCAATACCAGAGATCAGTGCAGTGGCTCCGGTTTTTCGGCCGCTATGCACTCAACCATTACCACCAAGGGGAGGAGGTCGAGTTCAAAGAGCTGGCGGCGGTCGTGAACACCCTGACAGCTCACTCTGCACGCGTCACAATGCTCGACGCAGCGGTGCATGCAGGCCGTAGCACGGAGGAGATCGGCCTCCAAGCCAACTGGAAGAACCCTGGGCCGCTGGTGCTCAAATACACCCGCAATCGGTCGGCTATCCCAGCCAAGATGGTCCAGCAGCTGGTCAAGGACATGCTCACTCAAGAGCACCCGGTCGAGGTCTCGGACGATACAGAGCTCGATGCAGTAGATCAGTCCGCCCTTGACCAGTTTCAGTTCTACATCAAGACCAACTGCTCAGCCGCGGCTTATGACTGTCGATACCATTGTGCAGCTCTGGGAGAGGAGGAGGCACTAGCTTGTGGGCGGCTGAAGCTTGTCGACTGCACCCATGTGGGGTCGTGCCTCCCCGACATTGCCATGCTCTGCAAACATTGTGCCCGAGTGCGGCCAGAGATCGCAGAGTCCTTTGCCCAGAGCGCGTAGTGTGTCGCTCTGCTGCATTTAGTTGGGGTGGTGCTTGACGCTCTGTGGAGCTCTGACACACCTGTTCACGGGCTGCCAATTTTGCTTTTTCATTTAAATTTGTCCGGCAGTATTTTGCTCAGTTTTATTTGTTTGTGTGCCGATCACAGTGGCCATGGTGGATCGCACCGTCTACGCCGATGACAAGACCCCTGATCTGGCGCTCCGACAAGTCTTTGGTCGTCAGCGCGTTTCGCAAGATCTCTGCAAGTTGGCCGCCAACGCTGGTTTGCTCACAGTCGAGACCTTCGCCATGCTGGGTGATGACATTGCATCGGTCAAGAACACGATCAAGAACCTGGTGCCAGACATCACTGCTCTAGGCGCTGATGGTCCTGCTCAAGAACTGGCGCTTACTAGTTTGGCAGCCGTGTGGAAGACCTGTGGCACCATGCAAGATCATTTTGCCAATCGGCGAGCAAAGATGGAGGAAGATCCGTCCAAGGTCCCTGAGATCCCAGGAGAAGACCATGCGGAGTTCCGCAAAACATTCGTGGCTCGACACCCGGACGTTCTTCTTCCCCTCCACCGAGAACCACATCGGAAGTTTGTCGAGCGCGTTCAAAGGGATTATCTGGTTCATGGCTTTGTCCACTTCTACGAGGTGGGCGAGATCCGCACCCGCAATGAGCAGATCGCTCAGAAATCCGGCTTGACCAAGAATGCGGAGGATTTGTTGCGTGTGGTCATGATCGACCAGCCTGCCTCTGCAAGCTCGGAATCACAGGTCATGGACAAGCTCCACGCGTTCTTCATCACCTTGGAGTACCTCAACATTTGCGAGTTCTCGGTCGATGCTGGCCCGCTCAAGTACTTGGCTCAGCTTGAAGAATGGCGACACGAGAACCGAGGCCTGGCCCTTCTTCTCACAGTGGACACGCTCATCCGCAAGAAGGTGCACAGGGTGAGTTCTGATCAGCGCAAAAAGTTCACCACGTTCTCGGCAGCTTTGGTGGAGGTTCTCGACAACCACAAGCAGCTTTGGAATGACGCTCGCTCAAGTGCGGAGCTGGACAAGTACAAGCAAGCTTCTGCGTTGACACCTGCACCGGTGACTCCCAAGAAGCGGGCTCGCTCGGTCTCGCCGGTTCCCAAGTCGACAGCCAAAGCTCGAAAGAACAAAGCTCGTCGTGAACGCCAAAAGGCGCAGCTTCAGAAGGCCAAAGCACTTACCTCTACGCCGCCCAAGAATGCTCCGAAGGCTGCTCGAGATGAGCGTGTTCCAGCCAAAGAATGGCAAACAATTACATCGTTCAAGTATTCGGGTGGGCGTCGGTGCCCTTTCTACAACAGCTCTTTGGGTTGCCGCTTTGGGGATCAGTGCAAGCTCAAGCACAGCTGTGCCGAGTGTGGCCAAGGCCACCCTTGGCATGGCAACCACTGAATGGATGCACCCAACCCCCAGGTGGAGTTGGCTCCTCCGCCTGGGGATTGGGCTGGGGCCACCAGCTCCACGAATGACGATCGGTCAAAGCCTCCAGCCGATCGGAAGGCGGTGCTGGGCTCTCAGTCACAATGGCCAGATTGGGATTTTGTGTTGCAGAATCTAGCTACATTTGCTCAGTCTGGGCCGTTTTTCCTGGAGCTCTTTGCTGGGAAGGCTGGCCTGACGGAGGCCGTTCACCTGACAGGTGTGCCAGTGCTCCCGCCAGTGGACATCGAGCCCTCGGCTTTGATCAGCACTCCACGGGATCTGGTGGACTACGTGTTCTGGCGCCAGCTCTTGGATCTCTTGGCGCTGGGCATTGTTTTCTTTTTGCATTGTGGCACGCCCTGCAATACGTTCACCTCAGCCCGGAAGGCTGATGGGGGGCCGCCACCACTACGTTCTGCCTCTCAGCCGCTCGGTTTAGAGGGCTTGCGGTGGGACGATCAGATGCTGGTTTTTCTGGGCAATTTATTTTTGGAACGGACAGTTGAAGCTTGTTTGTTGGTTTTTGCACTTGGGGGCGACTTTTTGATCGAGAACCCGCTCCTGAGCTTGCTGTGGACCACACCACAGTTGAGCATGCTTGTCCGTCGCACTCGGGCTTTTCAGCTTGACTGCGATCAGTGTGCGTTTGGCACTCCGTGGATGAAGCCTACTCGGTTTGTGTGCTCTTCAGAGCTCTTGGATGCGCTCGCAGTGCTTTGTCCGGGCGACCACGTCCACCAGAAGCTCAAAGGCAAGGTGTGGGACCCCCGCAAACAGCGTTACGTGTTCAAGACCAAACAAGCTCAAGTTTATCCGTTGGCCTTGTGTGCCACAATTGCTCAGCAAATTTTGGAGATCTTCCTGCAGGCATATTCCCATTTGCAACCCACGTTTCAGCTCTGTGCCCCAGCTCAAGAGCGCAAACGAGCCCTTCATTCCATTAAACCATGGAAGGGCCATCGGCAGGCGGAGTCGGCTCTCAAGGCTCTGAACGCTGGCTACCAGCTCAAGCGTGGCGCTGCCAAGCCGCTGTTAGAGATGGAAATGGAACCTGGGGAAGCTGTGCAATTTGCTCTTCAGTTGGTTCATCCTTTTTCCCGCCCTGCTCAATTGCCGGCAGCCTTGACTGCGGCCTTGGCGGCGGTGGCCAGTGCTCCACGTGAAGTTGTGCGTCAGCGTGGTCGGGCACTGGCTCATTGGCAGGCGCGTGCAGTGGCGCTGTTGCCAGAATCTGTGTCCAGAATCATGCAGCAACCTGATGCAGCTTTGCGGAGGCTCCTTTTGGGCACACACGAGCCTGGCCAAGCTCGGCTTGGCGAAGTGTGTCATGTCGCTCTCTATGAAGAGATGTTAAAGGAGTGCAAGTCGGCCGATCAGTTGCTGCCTCGCCTCTTGCTCGAGGGATTTCCTATTGTTGGCCGGATCCAGCCCTCCGGGCGCTGGCCGCCCTTTGAGAAGGTTCAGAAAGTTTTGTTGGTCCAACATGCGCTGGATAGGGCCTGGGAGATTCGCTCCAAGATTGTGAAGCGTGTTCAAGGCGTGCCAGTCACTGACAATTTGCTCAAACTTTGGGAATCAACTATGGAGGATGTGGCTGAAGGTTCTTGCTTGGGCCCCTTCTACACAGAAGAGGAGATCACCTTGGCGTTGAACTGCAGCGACTGGATCCCTACACAAAGGTTTGAAGTAGTTCAAAAGAACAAAGTTCGTGGCTGTGACAGTGCAACTACCAACTTAATCAACCAGATCACAGAGATTAGTGAGAAGTTGCAGCTGCCGTCGACCGACTCGAACGTGGCTGCCCTTAGGATGCTCAAGACCTTGGCTCCAGATGCTGACCTGCTCGGATGGGTGCTCGATGAAAGGAAGGCCTACAGGCAAGTGGCTGTGCGCCCTGATCAGAGGAAGTTCTCCGTTATTTGTTTAAAGTCACCTCACTCAGGCAAGCCATCCTTTTTCATCATGGTTGGGCATTCGTTTGGGTTAGTGTCTGCGGTCTATAATTATAATCGTAGATCTGCTGCTATCAATGAGATTCTTGTCTCTTTGTTCAATTTAGTGGCCTTTAGTTTCTACGATGATAAATATGGCTTTGAGCCTTCTGCTTCAGCGGCGAGCGCTCGCGAAGTTGGCCGAACTGGTGCACTGGTGGCTGGGCGCTAGGTTTGATCAGAAGAAGCTGCAGCTCTCCGCCGAACCGACGATCCTGGGTGTGACCTATAATTTGAAGCTCATGCAATTGGAGATTAAGGAGGAGAGGCGCCACGATCTGCTCGAAGAGATTGACGCCATCCTGCAGTCTGAGCTTCTTGATCCGGGGTCAGCGGGCAAGCTCAAAGGCAAGCTCATGTTTGGAGCTTCCCAACTCTGGGGCAAGATTGGCCGTGCGTTCTTACGGCCCATTTCTGAGCGGCAGTATTGGAAGTTCCCTGCAACATCTGATTTGCAGCTTATCGAATCATTGCGCCAATGGAGAAAGCTCGTCCATGCTGGCCCACCGAGATCTATTGACTTGGCTCAGGAAAGGCTGGCAGATGTGGTGATCTTTACCGATGGCTTCACCCCTGATCCAAGGTCTTCTGATGTCAGTCCTGATCGGATTGGTGGAGTGATGTTTGACAGAAGAGTGCGCGCACCTCGTCAGTTCACTTCAGTAGTCCCTCAGCATGTCAAGGCTCGTTGGCTGGCAAGGGCGACCCAGATCATGCCTATTGAAATGCTGGCTCCAGTGGTAGCTCTTGTCACCTTTGCTGATCGTCTCGTTGAAGCGGATTTGATTTTGCTCATAGATTCCGAGTCAGTGGAGGCTGCTCTCGTTAAAGGCTACTCCAGTCGGGAAGACATGTGCGAGATCATCACATTGTTTTGGGAAATAGCGCTCGGGTTGCGCGTTCGCGTTTTTATAGACCGAATTTCTACAGACGCCAACCCAGCTGATTGGCCGTCCAGAAACAAGCTCTGGCTGGGCGAAGCAGCAGGCTGGTCTACGGTGCAAGCGTGTTGGCCTGAGGCGCTCAAGTGCGAAGTTCAAGGGCCTGGGTAGTTTGATTGCTCTTTTGTGTGTGAGTTTCAATTGGCTTCCAGTTTGCTCTGACCTGCCAACCTGCTGCGTTTGAGTTTTTGACCTGGTCAGCCGCTCACATCAGCTGGAGCTCAACATAACCCTTCATTGCATCATAGACCAATCTTTGAGACTGCTCGACCCCATGCCTTGTGCAGTCTTAAAAATGTGTGCTGCGTATTTTGGGACTGCCGGCATGTTTATTTGGATTGTGTGATTTCACTCATTTGTGCAAATGATGATCCAAGTTCAAAGCTTGATTGGAAGTGATGGAAAAGTTGTAGTGGGGCACACGCTCGAGCCCCACGAATAGTATGCAGAGAGTCGTTTGCATGTTGTCGGCAAGGTAGGCTTGGAACAAGCGAAGGACTCTTTAGTACTGTTCAACTTTTCGATCTTATCCTTCCTCTCGTTTTCCTGATGTTCATAACATATTTATTTACTTTATTTTATATTATAGTGATCATATCTTGAGTCATGCATGTT